AAAAAAAAAGGACACATAGTATGCATGTTATAAAGAGAATGTATGCAAAATTTAATTTTTACAATTTTTTTTCTTTTTCCTGAGCACAACAGTATTTCCTGTAAGTTAATGGTTTAATGTTTAATGCCATAAACAGTTTGTTTTTTTAAAAAGAAACCAGTAGGCCGGGTGTGGTGGCTCTTGCCTGTAATCCCAGCACTTTGGGAGGCTTAGGCAGGCAAATCACCTGAGGTCGGGAGTTTAAGACCAGCCTGACCAACATGGAGAAACCCTGTCTCTACTAAAAATATACAATTAGCCAGGCGTGGTGGCACATGCCTGTAATCCCAGCTACTTGGGAGGCTGAGGCAGGAGAATTGCTTGAACCCAGGAGGTGGAAGCTGCAGTGAGCTGAGATTGTGCCACTGCACTCCAGCCTGGGAGGCAGAGCAAGACTGTCTCGAAAAAAGAAAAAAAAGAAAAGAAAAGAAGAGAAAAGAAAAGAGAAGAAGAGAAGAGAAGAGAAGAGAAGAAAATTAAGGTTTAAAAAGTTTATTTAGGGCCGGGAGTGATGGCTCACGCCTATAATCCCAGCACTTTGGGAGGCCAAGGCAGTCAGATCACTTGAGGTCAGGAGTTTAAGACCAGCCTGGCCAACATGGTGAAAACCCATTTCTACTAAAAAACACAAAAATCAGCCAGGTGTGGTGGCAGGTGCCTGTAATCCCAGCTACTCAGGAGGCCAGGTAGGAGAATCACTTGAACCCAGGAGGCAGAGGTTGCAGTGAACCAAGATTGCATTACTGCACTCCAGCCTGGGCAACAGAGTGAGACTCCATCTCAAAAAAAAAACAAAAAGAAAGAAAAAGAAAAAGAAGTTTAATTAGGTCTGGCACAGTGGCTCATGCCTATAATCCCAACACTTTCAGAGACTGAGGCGGGAGGATGGTTTTAGAACAGCCTATGCAACATAGTGAGACTCTGCATCTATTTTAAAAAATAAAAATAAAAAGTTTGTTTAGAAGAAAACAATGATGCCGGGCGCGGTGGCTCAAGCCTGTAATCCCAGCACTTTGGGAGGCCAAGACGGGCGGATCACGAGGTCATAAGATCGAGACCATCCTGGCTAACACAGTGAAACCCCGTCTCTACTAAAAAATACAAAAAAAACTAGCTGGGCGAGGTGGCGGGCGCCTGTAGTCCCAGTTACTCGGGAGGCTGAGGCAGGAGAATGGCATAAACCCAGGAGGCGGAGCTTGCAGTGAGCTGAGATCTGGCCACTGCACTCCAGCCTGGGCGACAGAGCGAGACTCCGTCTCAAAAAAAAAAAAAAAAAAAAAGAAGAAAACAATGGAAGTTCTGAGGTGACGTCTGAACATGTCATGCTATATGCTTTAAAAATCCATCACACACATTTCCTTTTACAATGTGGGATTTGGTCAAGGTAAATTCTTTGTGAAACCTATGAGGGAAATGGACAGTTCTGGAGACTAACACAAACCTTAAAGGACTCGGGAGTCTTATTCTTCATATGACCATCTTACACCATCAGGTACTTTTTGTGTGGTGACCCTATGGATGGGGAATCTCCTTTAATTCAATCTTTTTAGTTCCTCCAAAATAAAAGGATGATATTTAAAACTAGAAAGGGGAATAGGCCGGGCGTAGTGGCTCATGCCTGTAATCCCAGCACTTTGGGAGGCCTAGGCAGGGGGATCACCTGAGGTCAGGAGTTTGCGACCAGCCTGACCAACATGGAGAAACCCTGTCTCTACTAAAAATACAACATTAGCCGGGCGTGGTGGCACATGCCTGTAATCCCAGGTACTCAGGAGGCTGAGGCAGGAGAATCGCTTGAACCTGGGAGGCAGAGGCTGCAGTGAGCCGAGACTGCGCCATTGCACTCCAGCCTGGGCAACAAGAATGAAACTGTCTCAAAAAAAAAAAAAAAGAAAGGGGAAGAATAAACTTATAAACTTTCTCATCTTGGTGTGTGGCAGACAGAATAATAGCCCCTAAAGATGTCCAGGTCCTAATCCCCAGAACTTGTGAATAGGTTACCTCACTTGGCAGAAGGGGAATTAAGGTAACAGATGGAATTAAGGTTGCTAATCCTCATCCTTGATTATCCAGGTGGGTCCACTGCAATCACAAGGATCTTAATAAGAAGGAGTTAGGAGGTTGAGAGAAATGAGAAGATGCTACCTGCTGGCCTTGAAGATGCAAAGGGGTACTATGAACCATGGAACACAGGTGGCCTCTAGAAGCTGGAAAAGGTAAGGAAACGGGTTCTCCCCTGAGCCTCCAGAAAGAACCAGCCTGGTCGACACCTTGGTTTTAGCACAGTGAGACCTATCTTGGACTTCTGACCTGCAGAACCCTGAAACAAATGTATGTTGTTTTGAGCCACCAGGCTTGTGGTAATATAACAGGTTTAGGAAACTAACACACCCTGCTTCCATTCACCTCTTTCAAGTACAAGTGCAAAATGTCATGCCTGGTGGCAAAGCACTCACTGTATGAAAAGCAACCAGACCAAGAGCTTCCTGCCCACTGCAGCAGGCAAGAACACAAGAGAGGCCACGAACGCCTGGTAGGCAGGACACTGGGATCTGAGGGAAATTAAATGGCAAGAGGAGGCAGAGAAAAGAGCAGCAGGCAAAACTGCTGCCGGCTTCTCAGCAGTGGGCAGGAGTGAAATCTGGAGGGGCTGAACAATCTTTTGGGGCCAACCAGTGGGTGATTTTTCTTTTAATCACAAAAGGAGGCTGGGAGCAGTGGCTCATGCCTGTAATCCCAACACTTTGGGAGGCCAAGATAGGAACTGGAGTTCACACCAGCCTAGGCAACATAGGGAGACCTCCCTCTCTACAAAAAAAATAAAAATAATTAGCAGGGCGTGGTAGCCCGGGCCTGTAGTCCAGGTTGCTGGAGGGGCTGAGAAGGGAAGTGAGAGGATTGCTTGAGGCCAAGAAGCAGAGCGTGCAGTGAGCTATGATAGCTCCCCTGCACTCCAGCCTGCGCAAGAGAGCTAGACCCTGTCTCAAAAACAAAACAAAACAAACAACAACAAAAAAGCCGCACACGCTGCTTTTACTTGTTTACTTAGAAGGTAACAAGTGGGCCGGGTATAGTGGCTCACGCCTGTAATCCCAGCACTGTGGCAGGCAGAGGTGGGAGGATTGCTTGGGCCTAGGAGTTCAAGACCAGCTTGGGTAACATGGCAAGACCCTATCTTTTAAAAAAATAGAAAATTAGGGCTGGGCGCGGTGGCTCACGCCTGTAATCCCAGCACTTTGGGAGGCCGAGGCGGGTGGATCACCTGAGGTCAGAAGTTCAAGACTAGTCTGGCCAACATGGCGAAACCCAGTCTCTACTAAAAATACAACAATTAGCCAGGCGTGGTGGCACGCGCCTGTAGTCCCAGCTACTCAGGAGCCTGAAGCAGAACAGCTCAGCTCGCCTGGGAGGCAGAGGTTGCAGTGAGCCGAGATGGCGCCACTGCACTCCAGCCTGGGCGACAGAGTAAGGCTCTGTCTCAAAAATTAAATTAAAATAAAATAAAATAAAATAAAAATAATAAAATAATAAAATAAAATAAAATATTAAGCTGGGCATGGTGGCGTGCGTGTGGTTCCAGCCACTCAGGAGACTGACTTGAGCTACGATCACGCTACTATGCTCCAGCCTGGGTGACAGAGCGAGATCCCGTCTCTTAAAAAAAAGAAAGAAAAATGTTCCATTAGTTATTAAACTAGAATTGGGTTCCATTTGGCTACACAGTTCTGCTTTCTTTGTACTTTGCTACCAAACCACAAAAGTTCACCACTTGTTCTATTTGCCATTCTTTCTTTTAATTCCTTATGAACAAACTTAACATTAATTAACTACAGCATATCAAACAACCTTTTGCAACCCCTACAATTTCAAACTCTTGGAGGGAGGCACCCCTGGCTGGGGCCAGCAGCCTCAGTGCGCGGGAGCGAGGGGAGCGGGACAGCGGCTCCGCCTGTCAAGTCTCCAGTCGACGGCGGAGCGGCGTCCCCACCGCGGGCCCCCTCGGGCTCCACACCCGCGTCTCGGCAGGCAGCGACGCACGGGACCAGCGGCGGCCGGGCCCAGACACCCGCGGGCAGGGCCGTCCCGGAGCCCGCGCCTCGCCGGCGGCGCCGCTCCCCGTTCTCATTTCTGAACAAAGACATGGACCGGGCACAACTCGCTGACGCCAGGAGCGGCCGGAAACTGCGGGGAACCGGGCCCGGCCATCCGCGCGTCCGCTCCGAGCCCCGCAGAGGGGCGGCAGGGTCAGCAACCCCCACCCCTCGGCGCCCCTGGACCCAGACTGCGACCCCTGCCCCGGGGACCCCAGTGACCCCAACGACTCTCATCCCTCAGAGCCCCCGCGATCCTGCCCAGAGACCCCAACAACTCTCATTCCTCAGAGCTCGCGGCGACCCCCGGCCCCGCGAGACCGCGAGCCCGGCCTGTGACCCCCGCCCCGGCCACCTACATCCCTCAGCGCCGCCGGCGACCCCGGCCCCGGCGACCCTCATCCCTCAAAATCCCCTGCGACCCCTGCCCCGTGGGGGCCCCCTGCACCGCTCGCCCGCCGGTCGCCCCGGGCTCCGCGTCCCGCACCAGTGTCCCCGGGAAACGCCAGCCGCCGCAGGCGCTGCCGGACGGCCGGGCCCGGAGGAGACTGGGGGCAGCGAGGGCGACGCGTCCGCCGCCGGGGCGCACTGACCGTAGCTGTCGTCCTCCTCCATGGTGCGGGCGCCGGGCTCCGAGCCCCGGCTCTCCGCTCGCGTCCCGCCGCGCCACCCGCGCCCCCGCTCGCCTCAGCCCGGCTCGAAGCCACGCCCGCCTCAGCCCGGCTCGGAGCCCCGCCCCCTGCGCCGCGCGCCCCGCGCCCCGCCCGCCCTCGCCTGCGCCTGCGCCCGCCCCCTGCCCCCGGTCCGAGGCCCCGCCCCTCGCCCGAGGCCCCGCCTTCCTCCCGCGCGCGCCGCACCCCGGGTACCCGGCCACCTCCCGAGGCTCCAGTCTGCGCACGCGCGCCCACCCGAGGCACCTCCCCTGCCCGGCCGCTGGCCCCGCCTCTAGACCACGCCCCCATCCCGAGGACCCTCCCCGTCCGCCTCCGCGGGGCGGCGAGCAGGTTTCGGTTTCGCAAGGGCGGTGCAGGTACCCAGGGTGGCGGAGTTGGCCTGGCCGCACGAAAGCCCAAGGTCGTGTCCGGCCACTGAAGGGCAGGGTGGTCCTTGCTGACGCCAACCTCGAAGGTCAGACCCGGCCCCAGCTTGCCAGGGAGGGCCCGGTCCTTGGCGAAAGGCCAGAAAAGCTATTTGAATTCATTTACTCTTGTGTTCAGAACTTTTACATATTGCATGTCGTAAGTTTACTGCTTCTACTTCCTTTTATTTGTCCTGAAGTTACCTGGGTCAAGATTGAAAGGAGGGCACTTCAAGTCCCAGCGTTTTGGATTTTATTCATTTATTTATTTACTTTTTGGAGACGAGTTTCGCTCTTGTTGCCCAGGCTGGAGTGCAGTTGTTGCCCAGGCTGGAGTGCAGTGGCGCGATCTCGGCTCACTGCAGCCTCCGCCTCCCGGGTTCAAGAGATTCTCCTGCCCCAGCCTCCTGAGTAGCTGTGATTACAGGCATGTGCCACCACGCCCAACTGATTTTTGTATTTTTAGTAGAGACGGGGTTTCGCTTTGTTGGCCAGGCTGGTCTCGAACTCCTGACCTCAAATGATCGGCCCGCCACGGCCTGCCAAAGTGCTGGGATTACAGGCATGAGCCACCACACTTGGCCTTCTGTTTCTTTATGACAGAGGAGAAACCCAAGGCTGCAGAATGCCAGCCCCAGAACCCGGCTTTCCCGCTGCAGTCACTTGTGGCTCCTGCACCCTACACAGAACACTCACTGAGAACTCCACAGAGATCCCTGGACTGCTGGGAATTTTTGGATCAACCAAAAAACGGGAGTAAAAGCCACAGAACTCTTTCCTTGTGGGCCCTCCTGTCCTGAGTTTTACTATTTTTCTTTTTTCTTTTTCTTTTTTTTTTGAGACAGGGTCTCACTCGTGTTGCTCAGGCTAGAGTACAGTTGGCACCATGATGACTCCCTGCACCCTCTGCTTCCCGGGCTCAAGCAGTTCTCCCACCTCAGCCTCCTGAGTAGCTGGGACTACAGTCACAGGCCACCACACCTAAGGTTAATTTTTGTGTTTTTTGTAGAGATGGAGGTTGCTAGGTTTCCCAGGCTGGTCTCAAATTCCTGGGCTCAAGCGATCCTTTCTCCTTGGCCTCCCAAAGTACTGGGATTACAGGTGTGAGCCACCATGCCTGGCTGGATTCATGATCTTAACCTTCATTGATTTTACCAGATTGTCCAGTTTTACTGGTGACCTTAGAGTAGGGAGTCACATTTTGACCCTAATGTGCCCTTGGGCTTAGGCGTGTTAGGTCAGAGACCCAGCTGCATTTTGTTCCTCTTGGCCTAGACTTAGGACACTTTTAGAATTGACCCCACATTGACCTGGCAAATCTTCTCAAACCGTCCATCACATGGGGTAATGGAGCACTGAGCCTCTCCCCCAGCATGTGCCATCCTCTCCGGTTCATTCCCTACCTCACTTCTAACCCGAGACTCACCAGAAGGTTCAAGGTATATTTGAGCTGGGTTTCTTCCGTTAACAGTATGCAGGTCTCAGACCACCTCAGCTCTTGCTCAATGACCAGAACTCCAGAAGAAAAGCGATTCAGATGGTATGTTAATTCTTACTATCAGCACTCTAGACCTCTTAGCTGAATTCACCAACTGAATAATTTGGAGAGGGAGGGATACTGGTATCACTGCTAATCACAGATTAGCAGAGAACGTAACTGTTTACAGATTCTGTTCCCTTACATTGTTCCATTAGATTGGTGTTTTTCAGCTGGGTGAAGTGGTTCATGCCTACAACTCCAGTACTTTGGGAGGCCAAGCTAGGAAAACTGCTTCAGGGCAGGAATTCAAGACCAGCCCAAGTAACATAGAGCGACCCTGTCTCTACAAAAAATTAAAAATTGTCGAGCATAGTGGCACATGCCTGTAGTTCTAGCCACTTGGGAAGCTGAGGTGGGAGGGATTCCTTGAGCCTGGGAGGTTGAGGCTGCAGTAAGCTATGATTGCACCACTGTGCTCCAGCCTGGGGGACACAGTGAGACCCTGTTACAAAAAAAAAAAAAAAAAAAAAAGAGAAGTGTTTTTCAAACAGCAGGTCATGACTCTTAATGACTATGAAACAAATACTTATTAGATGAAAAGAAAATAGAATTTTTAAATAATTGTAGTCTATCACACGTAATACAGAGACTGTTTGTTCTGGTTGCAAATGAATGCATGCATGTGTTCACTGGGCAGGGCTGTCCCTGACCATGGATCACTGTCAAAGAAACACAGAAGCTACTCCATTAGATCACATTCATGATCAGAGATTTTTTTTTTTTTCTTTGAGATAGGGTCTCACTGTGTCATCCAGGCTGGAGTGAAGCTGCACATCTCGGCTCACTGCAGCCTCCACGTAGCTGGGATTACCGCCATGCGCCACCACGCCCAGCTACTTTTTTTGTTTTTAGTAGAGACGGGGTTTCGCCATGTTGGTCAGGCTGGTCTCGACTCCTGACCTCAGGTGATCCGCCCACCACTGCCTCACAAAGCACTGGGATTACAGGCGTGAGCCACCACGCCCAGCCAGAGAGGTCCTTTAGTTGTTATCTTTGCATGACATTTGGAAGCGGAGGCTTCAAAAGGAAGTGTCCCTGCAAGCAGGAGTCAAATCAGTTTCACTCTTGTATCTTGAATTTGCGTCCCCAGCCCCTGGAGCATAATGAGAAGGAGCCGGTGGCAGGGAGACAGGAACCACGGGACTCCACTCCAGCTGTGGATTCTAACCCAGACCTCTTCCCCCACATCCACTGGTTCTTCAGAGAACCTTTAAAATGGGTTTGGGCTCCCTGCTAGTTTTGCTGTGTTTGTAAGTCCTTAGTGGTTGATCCACTTGACAACTAATTTTTTTAAGTTGGTACCTTCCTGTGGTGTTTTACAGTTTTTGGTTTTGTTTCGTTTTTGAGACAGGGTCTAGCTCTGTTGGCCAGATTAGAGTGCAGTGGCTCATGGCTCACTGCAGCCCCCACCTCCCAGGCTCCATTGATCTTCCCACCTCAGCCTCCTGAGTAGCTGGGACTACAGTTGCATGCCACCACACCCAGCTAATATTTTATTTTTATTTTTTTTTAGAGACAGGGTCTTGCCATGTTGTCCAGGCTGGTCACGAAATCCTGGGCTCAAGCGATCCACCCACCTTGGTCTCCCAAAGTGCTGGGATTACAGGCATGAGCTGCTGCTCCTGGCCACCCTCTGGTATTTTCCACTGTTCCTGGCTTGTACCTCCCTAAGCTCTTGTTACAGTCTTTTGTTATAATGTTGGCTTAGGCCTCAGGAAACAATCTCTCTGGCCTTCTCTTGTTCTTTCACCCGCCCCAAGGCAGGACTTTAATTTTGCCCACCTTTTGATTGTGGGTCTTAAGACCCTCCCCAGAAAGGGTCCTGCTCTGTGCCCTGGGGAATGGAAGCTTCCATAAAAACCCAAAATGACTGGGCCAGGATAGCTGAACATGTGGAGGTTCTTGGAGGGTGGTGCCTAGGGAGGGCTTGGAAGCCCTGTGCCCCTTCCCCATCTCTACATCTGTATCCTTTGCAATATCCTTTCTAATAAACCACTACCTGGCTGGGTGCGGCAGCTGACACCTATAATTCCAGCACTCTGGGAGGCGAGTGGATCACCTGAGGTCAGGAGTTCGAGACCAGCCTGGCCAGCATGGTGAAACCTGTCTCTACTAAAAATACCAAAACTAGCCTGGCGTGGTGGCGGGCACCTGTACTCCCAGCTACTCGGGGGGCTGAGGTGGGAGAATCGCTTGAACCCAGGATGTGGAGGTTGCAGTGAGCCAAGATCACTCCATCACACTCCAGCCTGGGGGACAAGAATAAGTCTTTGTCTCAAAAAAAAAAAAAAAAAAAAAAAAAAAACCACGAAATGTTAAGTGTTTCCTTAAGTTCTGTGAGTGGCTCCAGCAAATTAATCAAACCCAAAGAGGGGGAATCATAGAAATCCCAAGTTTAAGCTGGTCGCTCAGAACTTCCAGAGGCCCAGACTTGTGACTGGTGTCACAAGTGCAGTCTTGGGGACTGAGCCCTCAACCTGTGAGATCTGAGCTCACTCCAGATAGTCTGAATTGCACTGGATTAGAGGATCCCCAGGTGGTGTCCACTGCTTAATATGTGGGGATAGACCCCCATGCCTCTGGGCAGAGCAGTCTTTTATGAGGATGGTTGTAAGGTGAGAACAGACCATAGTTTGAGAGTTTTTCCCAAAACATTCCCCCTTCAGCTTCCCTGCCTTGCCTAATCTCAAAAAGAATTAGAAAGGTTTTAAGCAGAGGTAACCCAAAATACATTTTTCCTATGCTTATACCACGGTTTTATTTATTTATTTATTTATTTATTTATTTATTTATTTATTTATTTATTGAGACAGAGTCTTGCTCTGTCGCCCAGGCTGAAGTGCAGTGGCTCGATCTCAGCTCACTGCAAGCTCCACCTCCCGGGTTCACGCCATTCTCCTGCCTCAGCCTCCTGAGTAGCTGGGACTACAGGCGCCTGCCACCAAGCCCAGCTAAGCTTTTCTATTTTTAGTAGAGACGGGGTTTCACCGTGTTAGCCAGGATTAGTCTCCATCTCCTGACCTCGTGATCCGCCTGCCTCAGCCTCCCAAAGTGCTGGGATTACAGGCGTGAGCCACTGCACCTGACCAGATTCATTATTTTAATTTTCACAGTAAACTTTTAGAGCTGTTTACCATATAGATACTATGCTTCACTGTACCTTCCAATTCTTCCGAATGCCCACATTTTATCTGGTTCCTTTTTCTTTTCTTTTCTTTTTTTTTTTTTTTTGAGACAGAGTCTCACTCTGTCGCCAGGCTGGAGTGCAGTGGTGCGATCTCGGCTCACTGCAAGCTCCGCCTCCCGGGTTCACGCCATTCTCCTGCCTCAGCCTCCCGAGTAGCTGGAGGTGGCGCACGCCACCACACCCAGTTAATTTTTGTATTTTTAGTAGAGACGGAGTTTCATCATGTTGGCCAGGATGGTCTCGATCTCCTGACCTCATGATCTGCCCGCCTCAGCCTCCCAAAGTGCTGGGATTACAGGCGTGAGACACTGCGCCTGGCCCTGGTTCCTTTTTCTAAAACAAGTAATTCTATTTCATTACCTTTATGTTCTCCCAGCTGGTTGAGTGGGGCAGTAGGGGTGCCCAGCTTCCAGAAAGTGCAAGCTGGAGGATCTCAGAAGAAAGGCAGGACTGATGCCCACCCCGACCCTGTGTGCTACAGGAACAACAGACAGCTCACCCCCATCTGCTAGAAGGCATGAAGGAAGGAAGGGCCAAGGACGAGATGTGGAGAGACTCACGTCCATGGGGTAGGTATTGCTGAGGCCATCAGAACACCAGACACCAGGTCGGGCATGGTGGCTCACACCTGTAATCCCACCACTTTGGGAGACAGAGGCAGGCAAATCACGAGGTCAGGAGTTCGAGACCAACCTGGCCAACATGGTAAAATCCCGTCTCTACTAAAAATACAAAAAAGTAGCCAGGCGTGGTGGCGGGCGCCTGTAATCCCAGCTACTCGGGAGGCTGAGGCAGGAGAATCTCTTGAACCTGGGAGGCAGAGATTGCAGTGAGCCGAGATTGCGCCACTGTTGCCCAGGTGACAGTGCAAGACTCTGTCTCAAAAAAAAACCAAACCAAACCAAACAAAAAAAAAAACACCACCAGACACCAGGACATCATCTATGGCCTCCCCTCCACCAAGGGGAGAACTGTCAGCCACTACCTGATGTCATTCCCCTCTGCCAAGACCAGAATGCTGCCTATTGCCAGAGATCGGGACAGGAGGGACACTGAGGGCTGAGATGTCTGGGGACAACACTGGCTTCATGAAAGAGATATGAGGCTGGGTGTGGTGGCTCATGCCTGTAATCCCAGCACTTTGGGAGGCCGAGGCGGGCAGATCACGAGGTCAGGAGTTCGAGACCAGCCTGGTCTATATGGCGAAACCCCATCTCTATTAAAAGTACAAAAATTAGCCAGGCGTGATGGCATGCACCTGTAGTCCCAGCTACTTGGGAGGCTGAGGCAGAATAATCACTTGAATCTGGGAGGTGGAGGTTGCAGTAAGCTGAGATTGCACCATTACACTCCAGCCTGGGCAACAAGAGCGAAACTCGGTCTCAAAAAAAAAAAAAAAAGAGAGATGAGGCTCAACTGGGCATGCCAGCCTTCACTTGCCCAATCACTGTGTAAGTGATCTGTACCCTCTGAGACCAAGTGAAAGAGAGGACCTCGAGGTAGCAGCTTTTCTAGAAGTCAGCCTCTGACACCTCCCATCCAGGAGTAGGCTGAACAGTGGTTAGACAGGCCTTTAATTCAGGTGTCTTCAAAAAGTGAATAAATAGAAGACAGAGGACTCAGCAGCTCTGCCAAGGAGCAAGCCTCCTGGACTTGCTAATTCTGCAGCATAGACCTTGCAGGGAAGGTGGAGCACTGGTGAAGAAGGGGTGTTAATCCCTGCAAGAGGCTGCAAAGCGAACTACTCACACAGGCTTGGATTGGGACATTGTCTTGCTTTGAAAACCCCCAGATTTTATTTTGCTAAAGCTTGCAATTTCTTCTGTGTGTAAATGGCACTTAAAATCTGTTTGTAATGGAACTTGATTGTATCCAGCTGTCACCAACTGTTCCTGTGCCACCCAAAAGACAGCTGGCCACGTGCCATGGTTTGGGCGTTCACTTCAAATAGAGGAGCTGGTGCTCTAGTTCCTGCTAGACTTCACCAAAATGTTTTCACTCACGCAGAAAAACAAAGGGGGTGCGGGTAGGGCTCGGGGAAGGCAATGTGAAGGGGAATTAGTGCAGTGTAGACTGTGGAGCCACTGACTTTGAAGGAGGGTGGACTGGCTGTTTTCTGAGCAGGGTCCGAATGCACAGTCACAAAGCGTGCTGCCTTCAGCAGCTGCTCCAGTTCACTCATTCAACAAATATTTACTGGGTGACTGGTAAGTGCTGGGCCTTGCCAAGAGAACTGTGTAGCCACATAAGACAGAAAATGGCAGAATAATACCTTCTTTTTTTTTTTTTTTTTTTTTTTTTTGAGACAAAGCCTCACTCTGTCATCCAGGTTGGAGTGCAACAGCACGATCTCGGCTCACTGCAACCTCCACTTTCCAGGTTCAAGTGACTCCCCTGCCTCAGCCTCCCTGAGTAGCTGGATTACAGGCACCCACCACCACACCTGGCTAATTTTTGTATTTTAGTAGAGACTGGGTTTCTTTTTCTTTTCTTTTTTTTTTTTTTTTAAAAGACGGAGTCTCACTCTGTCACCCAGGCTGGAGCGTAATGGTGCGGTCTCGGCTCACTGCAACTTCCGCCTCCCGGGTTCAAGTGATTCTCCTGCCTCAGCCTCCCGAGTAGCTGGGACTATAGGTGCCCACCACCACACCCGGTTAATTTTTGTATTTTTAGTAGAGTTTCACTATGATGGCCAGGCTGGTCTTGAACTCCTGACCTCATGATTCGCCTGCCTCGGCCTCCCAAAGTGCTGGGATTACAGGTGCGAGCCACCATGCCTGGCATTATTATTATTATTATTATTTTTTTTTTTTTTTGAGATGGAGTCTTGTTCTCTCGCCCAGGCTGGAGTGCAGTGGCACGATCTTGGCTCACTGAAACCTCCGCCTCCCAGGTTCAAGCAATTCTCCCTGCCTCAGCCTCCTGAGTAGCTGGGATTACAGGCGTGCGCCACCAGGCATGGCTAAGTTTTGTATTTTCAGTAGAGATGGGGGTTTTGCCATGTTGGCCAGGCTGGTCTTGAACTCCTGACCTCAGGTGATCCACCCGCCTCAGCCTCCCAAAGTGGTAGGATTACATGCCTGAGCCACCACACCCAGCCAGAATAATACATTTTTTTTTTTTTTTTTTTTTTTTTTTTGGAGACGGAGTCTGGCTCTGTCGCCCAGGCTGGAGTGCAGTGGCCGGATCTCAGCTCACTGCAAGCTCCGCCTCCCAGGTTCACGCCATTCTCCTGCCTCAGCCTCCCGAGTAGCTGGGACCACAGGCGCCTGCCACCTCGCCCGGCTAGTTTTTTGTATTTTTAGTAGAGACGGGGTTTCACCACGTTAGCCAGGATGGTCTCGATCTCCTGACCTCGTGATCCGCCCGTCTCGGCCTCCCAAAGTGCTGGGATTACAGGCTTGAGCCACCGCGCCCGACCAGAATAATACATTTTAAAGGGGGAGGGGAAGTACATTAAACACTCATCATTTGTAACATAGTAACAACAAAAAACTACATGAGGTACATTTTAACAATCTCAACTCTTCCCATGGGATAATAAAGGTTGACACATTCATTTTATTTTTATTTCTTTTAAATTTTTTGTAGAAGCTAGGCGTGGTGGCTCACGCCTGTAATCCCAGCACTTTGGGAGGCCGAAGCGGGTGGATCACAAGGTCAGGAGATCGAGACCATCCTGGCTAACATGGTGAAACCCCGTCTCTACTAAAAATACAAAAAATTAGCCAGGCGTGGTGGCGAGCGCCTGTAGTCCCAGCTACTTGGGAGGCTGAGGCAGGAGAATGACGTGAGCCCGGGAGACGGAGGTTGCAGTGAGTCGAGATCGCGCCACTACACTCCAGCCTGGGTGACAGAGTGAGATTCTATCTATCTCAAATAATAATAATAATTATTATTATTATTTTGTAGAGACAGGCTCTCACTACGTTTCCCAGGCTGGTCTCAAACTCTTGGGCTCAAGCAATCTTCTCACCTCAGCCTCCTAAGGTGCTGGGATTACAGGCATGAGCCACTGTGCCTGGCCAACACATTCATTTTAAAACGGCCTTAAAAAAAATCATTGGTTTATGTAAAATAACTTGAATTCCCTACACACATTTCACAGCAAGTATTTGCCATGTTCTTAGACCGTGTGTTGAAATCTGGTCTCATGATGGTAAGAAGCTACCTAAATAACTAGATCCTACTTAAGGGACTGGCAATCTTGTGACCAGTTTCACTCAATGTCTAATGGATATTTGGCAGCCGTGTCCTATTGCTCCTCTAATCAACACCCTCCTAAATGAAGCAGACAGGGAGAAAACCAATGAAAACACACATGCAGGACATGTATCGTGAGAGTGACAGCTGACAGTCATGATCTGAATCTAATCTGCATTTTAGAGGAGAAAAGCAAATTCATGATGCTAACTCATGGCAGACCCCTTAGAACACAAGTCTTGATTCCCAATCTGGCCTTCTTCCTTTTCTTTTTTTTTTAAGCTGGAGTTTCACTCTTGTTGCCCAGGCTGGAGTGCAATGGTGTGATCTCAGCTCACCGCAACCTCCACCTCCCGGGTTCAAGTAATTCTCCTGCCTCAGCCTCCCAAGTAGCTGGGATTACAGGCATGCGCTCACGACACCCGGCTAATTTTGTATTTTTAGTAGACACGGGGTTTCTCCATGTTGTGTCATGCTGGTCTCGAACTCCTGACCTCAGGTGATCTGCCTGCGTAAGCCTTCCAAAGTGCTGGGACTACAGGCATGAGCCATCGCGCCTGGCCCTGGCCGTCTTTCTATAGGAAGTCATGATTCAAACCTGAGTCCAGCCTGGTCCTACTTTAATCCCTTTAAAGCAGGAAAAATATACAGCAGTTTCCCCTTGAGAAAGCAACTTGCATAAGCAACAATTCAGGACAGATTCTGCTAAGAACAAGCACATTTTAAATCTCAGGCCCCTCTCATGGGGCAATTTCCTCAGTGCCTGGAGTGCTTTCTGAGATCCCAGAACAACAGGCCGGACAGCTGCCCAGAGGCCTCCAGGGGGCCGTGGAAGGCTGAAGAGGCAGGGGGATCTGGATCGAAAAATAGAGGAAACTAATTCTCTGAACAGGAGTGGGAAACCTTATGTCGGGAATGATTGGATTCTGGTTTCTTGCCTTAAAAGATTGTCCTTGAGGCCGGGCACAGTGGCTCACACCTGTAATCCCAATGCTTTGGGAGGCCAAAGCCAGAGGATTATTTGAGGCCAGGATCCTATACGGAGGGGGCACCACTTTTGAGTGTCTACAGTAGAGATCCCGACACAGGGTGGATCGGTCGACTGTTCAGTGGGATGTGTTGACTGGATCAGTTGATTCTGGGCTTGATCTAGAGTGTGCATCAAATGCAACCGACTCACATCTTAGAGGAGCTCTCCGGGGTGCGGAGGTGAACAGTGTCAAATCGTGGCAAGAAGTCGGTGGCAAGTGTGGGAATTAGGTCACTGAAGAGTGATGATGGCAGAAGCTAGACTAAGAACCACGGAGAGTCAACACAGAGCAAACTGAATGTCGACTAAGGGAGAGGGTGGCTGAGAGGGGACACAAGGAAACGCAGGCTTTTTAGGATGGGAGACGCCTGAACATGTTCCTAAGGGAAGGGAAGAGTGAGACACGGAAGCAGACAGGGTAATTAATGGAGCAAGGTCCCCAGGGTGGAAGAGGTTGGCCTCAAGGGCACAGGTGGGGTGCCAGCATACACAGAGGGGGCATGTCATCCAGCATCTCCAGTAGAGGTCCCCAGAGGATGGAGGAACACCCCTGTACTACACTTCCTTCCAACTCTCCCACACCAACCACCCAGCCCCTCTGGGAGGCATCAGATCAGAACAGTGGGTCTGCCCAGCAGCAGCCCTGGGGACTATTGGACACGCACATTCTCACGCCTCATCCCAGATGTGCTGAATCAGAATGCCGGGGAAGGAGCCCGGAAACTGGTGTGTTAAGAAGCCCTGGCAATTCTGGTGCTCACTGGAGTTTGAGACCAGGGACCAGGACCGCAACTCTCAACTCTGCTGCTCACTACGATCCCCCTGAGGAGGTTTTAAATGCTGATGCCCAAGCCTCACCCATAGATTCTGATTCTACTTCTGTCAGTATCGAATGCCTCTCCCCAGGTGCTCCTGCTGCCCCATGAACACTGAGAACCCTGAGGTAAGAAGGAGAAGGGAACAGAGAGAGAGGAGTTGGCTTTAGCTTTGGTTTTCCCATGTTGTTTAATTCTGGGGTGGGATAAGAATTCTTGAGGTAGCTTCGGAAGTCACTTACCAAGAGTAGTGGGCACATACACAATGAGACAGCAAAACAGTTTGCAGGGATCACTGAAAAGAATGGGAGAGAGAGGAAGGAGTTGCCTGAAGACCAAGGGCAGAAATCCCAAAAGGCAGGCAGAGCCTAATGAAGAAGGGCAGCCAGACAGCCCTGAAAGCCAAATCCATGGCACCCGGATGATCTTCTCCAAGGGTCATCCCCAGTCCAGATGTGGAAGGAGCAGGGGGCCAAGCCAAGCCGGGATCTGCATGAAGCAGCAGCAGGGCCACTTGCAGGCAAGAGTGTGAGCTCCTGGGAGTCAGCTCAGGTGATAAGAAACAGAAAGCTGCCCCTCTGCATGTCACGTGACCTGTGTGCCCACAGTTCTTTACCACCACCCCCTCGGTGTACTCACATCCTCATCTGCACTGAGGTTGTCCAAGCTACCAAGACTCGAGGCAGCAATTCTCACAGCACCATCCAGTGTTAAAGTGGCCTGAAGGTCACTGTCACAGTTAAAATGAGCCCTAATAGTGTGTTAGAGACAAATGGATGCCCACCTAATTGCCCAGTGTCCAGACACCTGGGCTTTTTCCTAACTGGAAGACTCGGAGCTCACCCACTGCCTAATTCCCATGCCTAGGATTCTCCCTGGGTTCCATTCTGGTAACATGCCAACACATCAACTGTGTCAGATTGAATCTCACCACCTGAAGGCCTTCCTGAAACCATCAGTGAGCCACCTGCTTCCCTGGCTACCACTTGGCCTCTAAACCCAACTAACCAACCCAGCAGAAATCATCTTAAACTCCACCCAGAACCTTCCACCGTATCTGCCACCTCACCTCGAGTCAGTCTATCTCCTAAATATCCAAGTGACCTCACTTCTAGCCTCTGCTACTAATGCCAATCTCTTAGCTCTAGCCTCAGCCACTTCTCAGCCAACGTAGTGGCTGGTCATCCTCACCTGCTGTCCTCTGTGCTCCACTAGCCGCCTTTCAGGCCATCAGACATCCTGGAATCCACTATCAGCCTCAGGAGTACCTTGGTACATCAGACCTTGGTAACCCTTCTTGCCCAAACTGTCAACCAAAACCTGCCCTGCACTTTTGCACCTGACTTACGGTTAGCCAGCTGAGTCCTGCTGGCCGGCTCCCACTTCCAACCCACTTTCAGAATGTCACCTCACCAGACGGTGCATCAGGCAGAGCTCACGACAGGCTCCTCATGGCCTCCCGGCATCTCCCTAACAGCGCTCGCCCTGCCCTGGAGCCGACAGTCCTGCTGGTGGGATTCTGCGTGTGTTCACTTTTGCACTCACCCAGAAGTGGCCCTAGTGTTTGGTAAACGGCAGTTAAGAATGGAAAAGCCTGTCGGGCACGGTGGCTCATGCTTGGAATCCCAGCACTTTAGGAGGCCAAGGCGGGTGGATCACGAGGTCAAGAGATGGAGATCAGCCGGGTGCAGTGGCTCACGCCTGGAATCCCAGCACTTTGGGAGGCCGAGGCAAGCAGATCATAAGGTCAGGAGTTAGAGACTAGCCTGGCCAATATGGTGAAACTCCGTCTCTACTAAAAATACAAAAATTAGGCGTGGTGATGCGTGCCTGTACTCCTAGCTACTTGGGAGGCTGAGGCAGGAGAACTGCTTGAACCGGGGAGGCAGAGGTTGCAGTGAGCGGAGATCATGCCACTGCACTCCAGCCTAGGCGACAAAGGGAGACACTGTTTGGAAAAAAAAAAAGAAAAAAAGAAAAAAAAAAATAATGGAAAAACCACAGCCTTACCCATGTAACCACTGCACCCAGCGTTGGTGTCAGATCACCACCTCTCCAAGCCTCAGAACCCCCTCAACCGCTGCCCGGACTACAACGCAAATGCCTTCAGACACAGCCTGGCTGGCAGGAAGGCCTCTGGGTCAGCAGTGTGCCCCACTCTGCCACCCCTTTGGTTTGGGTCCAGGAGCTGCCTCACCTCATTTGTTCTTACTTGGCTGTCCTCATTTTGGGGTGTCCAGCCAAGCCCCTAAAGAGAAGCGAAAACATGATGCCCTGTGTTTGGTGGACACCCTGGGGTGAAGAAAGCTTGCTTCCAAGTTGCTGAAGGGAGAAGTGGGGACCCACACACATCAGGTAACAGAGCTGCAGAGCAGCATTCTCAACAGGACCCGATGCACTGCAACCCGCCTGCGCCCCGGGGTGCATTCGACCTCTTGGTCACCCATTCACTAGGGCTGCTCTTGCCAAATGTAACCTCCTGGACACTGGGCTCCCTGCAGGGACCTACCTGTCCCTCCTAGCCCAACCTCAACTTCCAGGACAGGTAGAATCAGCGAGACCCTGGTGGGGATGTACCTTTAAAAAAAAAAAAAAATCAAATGAAAAAACAAACACCCAGAACTCCCAAAAACAGAGTATTTTATTGCACCAAGATCGTGGCAACATGTGGGGCTCCCAGGCCCCTGGAGAGGAGGTGCAGAGGATGGGACACAGACCTCTGCATACAGACAGGTACGGCCATGCAACCAGGACACAGGGCAGGTGAGTGAGAGGACCCAGGAGAGGCAGCTGCTGTACGCAGGCCCCACTCCCTCCAGCTCCATTCCCAAGCACAAAATTAAACAGACCCAGATCCTAAGTCAACCAAGTGACTGCTACGACATAGGCTTGGGTTATTGATATTTACTTACACACGTGCATGTGACCTAGAATTTGAACTCATCTTTTTTCTGGGCCTCATCTTTCCCTTCCCTGTCTGCTTGATGACTTCTTTGGAGGGAAGGGACGTGACTCTACCCGACACTGAAAAACACTGCAGAAAGTCGTCTCGTGCTCACCACTGCCCAAGAGTTAACGAATGTATGTTCCTCAGGAGAAAGTTTTACAGTTGTCTAGTGGAGAAGGGAAGAGACTGATTTGGAGGAGAGAAGAGAAGGAAAGGAGATAAATTCTGTGCTAGCAGACAACTAACATTTTCAACTGTAGAACATCACATGAAAAACATGGCAGAGGGAACAGTTCACACAGGAATGCAAGTCACCACCCCAAGAAGAAAAGGAACATACCCTGCCCATGAAGGCATGTGCTTTCCCTCCCAGATAAGTTACGAAGCCAGAGCACAGAAGCCGGGCCCTCATCTTTAAACATTCAGCGATCGGTCTGCAGGAGAGCACAGGGCACCCTGACCAGCTCAAGGCGGACCTCCACTCACTGCTGCTGGGACAGAGGTGGCCACAGGAGCTTGATTCTCTCCCGCCCTTCTAAGTGAAACGTAAAAACAGAAGAAAATCCAAAGAGACACTCACCCACATGGAAAAAAATAAATGTATCTTCCCATATGAAAAAAGCAATTCCATCTACACAGCAGTAACCACCCAGGCCCCAAGCATGAAGGCAGGATGCTAAGCTGCCTCAGGGAGAGGAGGTGCAGACAGTGAGGCAGCCACCCAGGACAGCAGGACGCCTCTGGCCCAGCAGAGCCACATTGAAGGAGATGTAAGTCTAACACCATGTCCATCTCCACCTGCGACGACTCCAGGAGGAAAGGACGGGGACAGACCCAACAAGGAAGGATGTTCACGGTCACCTTCACACTTCCCACTACTATGAGGGCATTTGTCTTTTTCTTGAAAATATCACCTTCTCTGAGGATTTCCTGTATTTATTAAATTACAAGTTGGCAGGCACAGCTTAAGCAAGATAGAAAAGTAATCTTCTTGAGTTATACAATCATTTAAATTCCAAAGCACTCACAAAATTGAGCAAACAAAGCCACTATTTGCATATTTGGGAAAGGAAACATATTGCTAATGGAAGCCATAGGACTGGTCAAAAATAAACGTTTTGTATTAAGTAGTAAAATAAATGGGAGAATTCTACCCCAAGGCCTCCACCTCAGTGAAGACCTGTGGGGTATTGCAGCTGCGAGGGAAGCTACAGCACAGTCGTCTCAGAATAAATAGCAGCCTGGAAAGCAGATGTACTCGCGGGTAATACCGAGGCCTCCTCCGACCCCAAACAGCCTCTGCTCTCCAGGACAGTTGAGAGTTACTCACAAGGAAGGGCTGCACAGTAGGGCCCCCCTCTCGAGTTCCATAAAAGGGAGAGCTGGCTGGGTGGAGTCGGCTCTTCCTTTCTGGGGACAGGTAAGGCCAACAGTGGAAGGGGCCCCACCGAGGAAGCAGGGGAGGGTGGGCTCAGACACAACGGTGGCGCCAGCCCTGAGGAGCAAGGGATGGCTCGCCAAGAGCCACCAGCCATGCACCAGGAGATCACCTGGGGGACATGTGGCCACCGTCCCCCACTCTCTCGACAGCCCCAACCCGGCGGGGGAGCAGCCTCTGCCAGCACAGACCACCGTGTATGAACACAAGAAGGCCCGGCCCGGCGAAGATGTCCAGCAGGCATGCAGCCGCCTCTGCTCACACACACACTGTCGTTTCTCTGCAGGGCTGGTCAGGAATGTCACCAAAGAGGTTCCGATATAGAGAAGCCTCAAAGCCTCTACGTCGGGTGGTCTGTGGACACTGGTACCGGGAGAGCTCCTACCGTGGCAGGCTCACAGCGCAGCAGAGCCCACACAGAGCTCCCTCAGGTCCAGACGGACAGCTCCCAGGAAGGGACGCCTTGTCTCCAGGAGGCTGCGGAACAAAGCACGGCAGTCCTGACAGAGAGAAACGGGACCACAATCTTCCCACTGCCATCCTTGGGTATGAGTCCAACCCAGGAACCCAATGCATGGCATCTCGATGTGGCTGGCAAACCCCACACACTTCTGCAAGTGACTAGGACACGTGCCAGATATATACACTGCCCACATCCTACACACACCCCACATATGCCCTTCTCCAAGTGACCAGGACACACGCCACAGATGCCAGGTGTACACACCCCACACCCAATACACACTACACACACCCCCTTATACACACGCATCCCACACACACCCTTCTCCATTCAAGTGACTAGGACACACACCACAGACGCGTCCACACCAGACACACACCACCCAACACACATGTGCCAGACACATAGCCTACATGCATCACAGATATGCATGCCACACCCCACTACACCCCCTATACACAAACACAGCACACACACCCCCACCTCACCCGCACACCCACACCCTCGGAACCAACCTCCTTCCACAGAGGCACAGTCAACGGCGATAGCTGAGGCTGGCAGCCTTCGCTGGGTGAGTCACAGACCAGAAGTTCCGTCGAGTCTGAAGTTTCTGGAAGGCGTTGAAGTTTCTCCTCTTCTCTTTCTTAAATTTTTTAATTTTCTTTTCCTAGACCAAGAATCACAGGCATCACAGTTCCCAAAAAGGGCTCTTTCCTGGCCCACGGGGCTCCATACTGCATGCAGGTCACCAGCTTCCTGCACACAGGCCAGGCTCTCGTGAGCTCTCTGGAGATCCACTCTTCACAGTGACCCCCGCGCACAGTGCCCTGCTGTCCCCCTACTGATGAAGGGGCGGAAGCTGCAAGGATGCATTCCGTCCATGGCCACATGCCCAGACAGGCCTGGGCAGCCTGCCTCTTCTCGCGCTCGGCCACTTCATGCCACTGCCGCCACCTCCAACTGCCCCGGCCCTAAGCTGAGCCACACCGCCCTGCTACCTCAAGCCTGTGGTCAGCATCACGCATCATACCTTCCCTCGGTCAAACTCTTCATCCCAGTCATCAACCACGGTCTCAGTCTGGGCCAGTCTGCTGTCTTCAATAGCATCCTGACTGACCGCCGACATCTTGCCATCCCAGGTCAGAACTACCAGGCAGACACAGGGCTCAGCACGAGTGCAGGTTCCCAGGTACCCTGTGGCTTCACTTCAAGAGTGTCATTTACCAACTAGTCTACCCATAATTAGTCAACAATTTTGAGTGCCACCTTGTGGTGAACAGAAGGACAAGAGGAGGACGGCTTGACGTCCATGTGTGGTCGGTCAGCACAGAACCCCCAACACCACCCTCTTAGCTAAACGCTAAACCACGGCCACAGACTTCAGTTCTCTCCAAAACCACGCCCTCATCTGAGAAATAAAGATGTCATATTCGGCCTCGAAGTCTGAATAAAAACATGCTCTGAGTAAGAAGTGACATTACCTAGGTTGGAAGAGCTTGGTCACTCTGCCCCTTCCCTACCCAAGACCCAGCATGTGCTGGGTTCCTCACCCTGCCCCAACCCTCAGAAGCAGCTGTTCTGGATCCTGCCATGGACAGAAGCCACCTTCGTGCCACGGCTGAGGGTTTAAAGAGGATTCCAGCCAGTGTTGAGATTCCTCTTCCCATTCTCAAAGCCGAGCGATGCCTGCCCTCCACACTCACAGTACACCAGGATCCAATCCACACCCTTCCCTCCTCCAAAACCAACCAATCAAAGGCAAACAGAAGTCCTGTCTCCAAACCAGTACCTTTTCTGCCATAAGCTTTATCAGATGAGTATTTGAGCAGCTCCTGGACCACATCAGACTCTCGCTCTCCATTCCAAGACACAGGAGGGGCCTGGCCCAGCCCTGCAAGAGGAGGAGCCAAGAAACATTTACAGATGTTTAAAATAACCCACTGGAGAAGCAACCACACACCTTAAATTATAGCAGAACTTACAGGAAGTGGATGCCTTTTTTTTTTTTTTTTTAAAAGACAGGGTCTCACTATGTTGCCCAAGCTGGTCTCAAACTCCTGGGGACTCCTACTGGCCTCCCAAAGTGCTCCCAAACTGTAATCCCAAAATGCTGGGATTACAGGCATGAGCCATGGTGCCCAACCTAAATGTTTATTTACTAATGCTTACATGCTTAATTTACTAATGATCTCACACAGTAGAGAAGGCTGTTGTCCAAGTCAATTCACGAAAAAGAAAACATGGAAAATAACGAAAAGCTAAAAAGCAAAAAAAAACCCCTCTAAAACCCCTTTAACCAGCAGGGTAAGTCCTCAGTCTGACAGAGGGAGGGACGAAAACTAGATCTAAATGGAACCCACTTCACCTAAGGGAGAGGCCCGTGCCCCAGAACCAGCCTGACACCTGGACGACCACAGGGGTGGGGGGAATGGCCAAGCTTGGCTGCTGCCATCAGGGACCCCGACCTCTTAAGCCCTGTCCAGGGGTAACCTGCCTGGTCCCTGTCAGCAACACTGCACAGGTCCACTCAGCATGTTGGGACCAGGAGAGCACTCACCACCCTCATCGGGTTCTAGAAACCCTTTCTGAACTAGTCCTCTGGCCAGCTAGCCACATAGCCCCTGGAATATACTCACCTCCCTTCACACAAATCTGACCTCATTTCTCCCTGCCTCCAATTCCTCAGTGAGCTCCAGGCTAAGTGTCCCCTGCCCCCGCACAGTGGCTTCCATAGTTCCCGTCTCATCCACAGCCCAGGGACGTGGCCATGCAGAGTAGCCTGCCTGCTCCCAACATGCTGCGCTTCCTGCCCTTGGGCCTGGTACCCTGCTCATTTAGCCACTCTCCTCAGGTGCACGGGACTGAGAGTGTATGGGGCCAGGTGTTCCCCCTCAGAGCCCAGGCAGCCCCCAGTGCGCAGTGCAGGGCGCACTGCTCAGGACACACAACTAGCACATGGACCCTGGCGCACTACAAGTGCTCAAGTGATGTCCCTTGAATCCCTGCATTAACAAGCCAACTCTGCTTTGCTCCAAGGATGGCAGGGAGCACGGCTCTGGCACCATGTTAGTGCAGTACTTCTGAGAGCATGCTGGCCAGCAAACACGGTCGGCACTTGCTAGCACCCGCATTTTGCAATTTATTTCATACTATTTCATTTTTATCGATAAATTCCTTTCTTAAGAGTTGGATAAATACAAATCAGTCTCTAAGGTCTTGCTGGCCCCCGGATGCACTGCCATCAGACCTTCCAGACTGCAGCGGAGGCCTCACTCAAACGCGCCCACTATACCAAGCAGCCAAGACTTTCTTCCCTTCACTTAACAAATGTGTTCTGTGGCAGGTGCCTGCCAAGGCATGCCCCAGCCAGCCCTAAAGAAAACAAAAGACCCTCCAATTGGAGGGTGGTGCCCAAGGACAGCCACAGCACACAGGTCCCCAACAGCAAGCACACCATGCTATGTTCTGAAAGGCCCAGCTACATAGAGGGAGAGGAGGATTGAACCCAACTCTTCTAAGTTCAACCATCACAGAAAACAACTCAGGCTGGGAGTTCAGGGAGTCATTCCATGAGAAGCTGTAGACAGGAACAGCTTTGAATCGGAAGATCCACTGGCGTTCACAGAATGTTTTAATCCTCATGTGCACTGTAACCTCTCCCGTGGGGTTGTTTCAGTCAAATGCTTTTGACACAGGAGGAAGCTTCAACCCCATCACCCAAGGGAACAGACTCGTGGGTGGGGAGTGAACGTTGGCAGGGTCCCGGGGACCTCCACATCTTCTCCCAGACCCTGCCAAGCTCAGATGCAGGAGGCACTGCTCTCAGCCTGTGCACTCCCTAATACCCCCTCGCCCAATGCATACCCATGTGGTCCTGCACCCCCTCCCCTGGTGCATACCCGTGCGGTTCCCAACCCCTCGCCCAGTGCATACCCATGTGGGCTCCAGGACACCAGCCATTCACAGATGGCGTGTGGCTGCTGGACTCGGGGACAGCAGCATCTCGGGGCTTGGCGTTCCTCAGGCCTTCGAGATGCCCATCCTCTTCTACCGCCCGCTGTGGCTCCTGCTTTCTTTTTTTCTTTTTCTTTTTCCTTGGAGACTCTTCCATGGTCTCTGGATCACCATCACCCATGGGAGAGCAGCTGCTGGGAAGTAAGAGGCAGCAGTCAGCTCTGAGCAAGTTGGAAGGGGAGCAGGAGCTCACAGACTGCCGCCTGCAACATGGAGAAGGTGCCACCCCAGCTGTGACCCAGTGCACGGAACTCTCTGCAACATTCTTCCCCCAACACGCATTAGCGGATGCTCCACACGCAGCCATGGAGACAATGGAGGGAAAACCAGTCACGTTTCTCATCCTAACTGAGCCAAGCCCGTCGAGGCCAATGTGCAGTCTACTGTGACCTGATGAAACTGCAGAGTCTGGCCTGGCCTGGGTCACCTGATCCAGCATCCTTGGATGGCTTTGCACATACAATGATGGACACTACTGTCCATACCACTGTCACTTCAAGGACCAATCCACTGGTATTTATCAGAGGAGTCTTTTGTGTGGTTTTTTTTTTTTTTTTTTTAAAGACAGGGTCTAGCTGTCACCCAGGATGTAAGGCAGTGACGCAATCTCAGCTCACTGAAACCTCCGCCTCCTGGGCTCAAACCATCCTCCCATCTTAGCCTCCTGAGTAGCGGGGACCACAGGCATGTGCCACCATGCCCAACCAATTTTTGTTTTTGGTAGAGAAAGGGCTTTGCCATGTTGCCCAGGCTGGTCTCAAACTCTTGGGTTCAAGTGATCCGCCTGCCTCAGCCTCCCAAAGTGCTAGGATTATAGGTGTCAGCCACCACAACGGGCCAGAGGAGACATTTGCTCACATATTCACATTTTAGAAAACCACAAAAGCAGACTACATTACCAGATCATACCTACGTGGGGTTAGAGGTAGATTCTGTGGTTTTGCTTTGTTTCTTGGCATCTTGACAGATGCCACCTTGCTCCTGCCCTTACCTGTGCCAAGGTGGGTCCTGGTGCAGGCCGCCTTCTTCACCAAGACCCTCTGCTCCCTTCCTCCTCCGCTTCCTGCTGCTCGCGTGGTGGCCGTCCGTAACACATCCCACCGGCTGCCCATTCACCTGTGGCTGTGCGCCATCTTCCTGCCGTCTGACAGCGGGCAGCTGGGCCTGGCCCTCCCTCTTGTGCGTGGGGCTCCCAGGCTGTCTCTGTGTCTGCCCCTCCTGCAGGGCGGTGGCAGCTGTGTCCTCTGGGTGCTTTTTCTTCTTCCTCTTCCTCTTCCCGTGGGGAGCCGCAGTGGCCTCCCTGATGTGCTGTGGGAGGCACGTCTCTGAGCCTAGCCTCTGGAGCTCTCCCAGGAAGGTCTTTTTCCTCTTCTCAGAGGGGCTCCGGGGGGGCTCACTGGCCTCTGGCAGCTGGTGTGGAAGGGACACAAGGTCCTCGTTGACCTGAGGCAGGGCCGTCGAGAAGGAGGAGCAGCTCCGTGGTTCTGACATCCCTGGGGGCTTGGGGGTACTGGACAGCAATGTGGGGTGGGGGCTGAAGGGGGGCTGCAGGCGGCTGGATGATTGGGGAGCAGGTGACACAGCCCTGTGGGGACAGCCAGGAAACAGGGAGAGGATGTTCTGAAAGACCCAGCAGAGCTGTTCCTTCTGTTCACCCTCACTCCCCTCCCTTTCACCTAAAAATCTGAAAAGGCTTTTGCCCTGCAGTTTTCAGATACACACTAAGTTACACGTAAGTTTGAAAGAAAGCTAACAATTAATTCGACATCTATTTAAATGCAAAGTTGGCTGGGCGCAGTGGCTCATGCCTGTAATTCCAGCACTTTGGGAAGCCGAGGTGGCCGGATCACCTGAGGTCAGGAGTTTGAGACCAGCCTGGCCAGCGAGGTAAAATCCCATCTCTACTAAAAATACAAAAATTAGCCAGGCGTGGTGGCACAAGCCTGTAATCTCAGCTACTTGGGAGGCTGAGGCAGGAGAATTGCCTGAACCTGGGAGGCAGAGGTTGCAGTGAGCCGAGATCACACAATTGCACTCCAGCCTGGGCGACAGAGCAAGATTCCATCTCAAAAAAAAAAAAAAAAAAAAAAGGCAAAGTTACCTACGTGGTAGGTTAATAGGTGCAGCAAACCACCATGGCACCTCTGCAACAAACCTTTACATCCTGCACACGTACCCCGGAACTTAAAATAATTGATCCCTAAGATTTAAAAAAAAAAAAAAAGGCAAGCCAACACATGATTTTAAAAATCAATTTTTTTCTTTTAATAAGGCAAAGTTAATAAGAATAGTTCCATGCCTTAGTTTCTCGTCACCAAGCAGTTCAGATATTTTTGCGAGCGCTAATATTTTAAATCTTTAATACAAATGTGTTAAGGAAGGAAGCCCTCACTAAACAATAAATGGTAAGGAATAAAAAAAGATCCCGTGAAGATTTATTCTCCAACCTCCGAAAGTCTCAGGGTGTTCCCAAGCAGGAAATGAGCCTCATAAGGCAGGCAAGTGTTGAGTTGGCCCTAATGACACCTCCACATTAGCATCATTAGGACGCTGAAACCGGGACACAGATGTGTAGAGCAGAATCATGAGCAAGGCATGTCCGGGACAGGATCTAGCGCCAAACCCAGTGAGGCTCTCTGAGCTCCCTCTTGCCAGCTATGTGTCCCTAGGAAAATTAACTTCCCACTCTGAACCACCATGTTCTCCTTTGTCAATGAGCTGCGACCACAAAGCCCACCTCCCAAGGTTCCTGAGGAAAACGGGACCCCCATCATCATCTAAACAAACTATAAGGGCCATGCCAGCCGCGCGACGTTTGATTACCCTGTCTTCTGGAATCTTTTCAAAAAAAGCTTATAAGGCAAGGAACGAAAAACACCCAAACACTCAACGCCCTCCCACGCACACAAATCTTATGCTAGGTATAGGGCAGAAGTGTCTTTGTGCGTGTGTATGAGAGAGGAGAGTAAGGCAGAGGCTGTGGGTGACGTACAGTCATACCTCACCCTCATGCAGCACTGGAGATTCTAGAACTAGAACCCAGCGCCAAGGTCACCAGTACAGTCCCCATAGGCCGCCTCATGGCTCACCCCATCTTTCACTGCTTCCTTCCCCACTCCCACCGGCTTCCAGACAGCCATTGACCAGTGACTCTCAACTTCCTGCCACTCGAGGCACCCAACAGACGCAGGCAGCCCCTGCGGACCAAGGCCCATATGCAGAGGGAAGGGACTGCATCTCCAGCAGGTGTGTGCAGAGGAACCCGAGAGCCCTGAGACAGTTCTTAACCCACATGATGCTAGCAAGCAAGACACCCCAGAAAAAATGCACAGGACTCCGAGCTCACTCAAGGCCTCTCGCCAAGGCCTTACCTCGCCTTTCTCTTCGACTGGGAAGTACTGTCATGGGGCTGGTAGGGATACAGGACAGGTCAGTCTCCAGCACACCATGTCATCACATGGATGTCGCAGACAGACCACCAACAAAGACAGAACTAAGACATCGGGACTGCAGAGGCTGAACTGCCTTCACCACCCAAAGCTCCTTTACCACGGGGGAACACAGAAGAGGGGGACCTTGGTCGGTGACGTCCCCCCGTACCTCCTGGCTGCCCAATGCTTTGTCAGTCCTGTGAGGCTGGTGATCCGTCCAACTCCTCACCAGCCAAGCACACGCAACCACAGGGAGAACCAGTCGGCACCCAGAAGGTCCCGGCCCGAAGCTTACCTGGCTCTACGGACGGGCCAAGTGGAGGCAACGACGGGGTGAGAGGTTTTCATGGGGTGGGTGAGGTCGGAGGATGGTGAGGGGGGAGGTGGACGGAGGTCATTGCCGGTCGCCCTCCACAGGGTGCTGGCCTGCAGTTATCGACATAAATAAAAACTTGGTGGTCTAAAAAAGGTTTCCGTGAGTGAAGAGGGAAAACAAAAGTAACAAAAAATGAAAATAAAAACAAAAGAGCCCAGAAAGAAAGATGAGGGGACAGAAGAAGACAAAAACGGGAGGTGAGGGGCAGGGGAATGGTAGAAGAAGAACCAGAAAAGTATTTTTGGTTAGAAACAAAAAAAAGGAAGAAATTTTAAACAAAAATCTCAGCACAACAATCACATCCTCGTGCCGTGGCTGCCTTCTAAGCTTCCTGCTGCAGAGGTGCTGGGCACCCCACTCGGCTCTGCGCTTCCTGCCCGTCCCACCTCTGCTAGGGAAGTACGCTGGTGGGGCTCACCCTCCCTCGGGTTCAGTCAGGATCTTCCGCCTACTGCGAAAAAGGGAACTGCTCCCTTGCCCAAACCTCCATGAGTCACAGGAGTATCACCAGATCATCAGGGCTCTCTCAACACCCCACACTGCCTTCACCCCAGGATAGCCGTTCTTTAATTGCAAATAGTTGGGAATGACTAAAAGATACTTTGTTCCTCTGACATGAGGGAGGCCAAAGTCCCTGGACAATGTTCTCACACTCCCTCCAAACCCCAACCAAGCAACTCTTGGAGCTCTCCTGATACACAGCAGTGGCGAGACCCCCACACACCCACCTTCTTGGCAGAAAGGGCCAGTTTTTTGGCTGGTGGAGGAGACATGGTGCTTGCAGGCTCAGCGGTGGCATTGCTCAGGACAGGGGACTTCAGCTTCACCGTCTTAGAATCTGCTCCACTTGGCGGCGTTTTGGAGTGGCCAGCGGTGGAACAGTTTGTTTCCTGAGAATCGCAGAGATGGGTCGCTCCACTCCTGGCGGTCTGGGGGGCCTTGGTGGAGTCGCTGCTGGCCGAGTGCTCTGGGCTGGAGCTGCTGGAGCCCCTCCTGTCGAGGCCAGTGCTCTCGTCATTCCTCTTCAACCCATGCCCGTTGGCAGTGGCTGTAGCCAGGAGCTTAGGTGAGGTAGAGAGGACAACATCCCTGCTGTCCCAGGAGCCCTGCCTTTGGCTCCCAGATCTGCTGCTACTCGAGCTGCTGGTCCCAGGCAGCCCCTGAGCAGTTCTGGGGGAAAAGTGCTGTGGAGGAGCTGGCTTCTTCACCTTCTTTCCAGGGTCATCTAGGATAGTCGGGATGTGTGTGGGTGTCTGGGGGAGTTTGGGGGAAGGGGATCCTGAGGGCAGCTTTGGAGGAACATAGCCGTTCTGGGATTTCAGGCCCAGGGTGGAGCCATTCCTGGAAATGGGCACGCCAACCTCTTCAGTGCTGTGCAGCTTCTTCATTGTCCCAGAATCCTGTCGCTAAGGAGAGCAAAGCAGAAAACACAACTGAGGAAGCGACAAGTCCCAGTCGGGCCACGCCTTCATAAGGCCACAACGCATCTTAGGAGTGGGCATGGCCTCTGATTAGCATGCTCAGGACAAATTATTTATCTGGACTCTTGGTAAAGACATTGTGGCTTCTTTGAACAATTCTGGTGTTTTGTGACATCCCAAGGAACTGGGACCACAGGCGTGCACCACCACACACCGCTAACTTTTGTATTTTTGGCAGAGGCGGGGTTTCACCATGTTGGCCAGGATGGTCTCAGACTCCTGACTTCAAACAATCCACCTTCCTCAGCCTCCAGAAGTACTGGGATTACAGGTGTGAGCCATAGCACCTGGCCTGAATACATATCTTTATGGCCATCTTTATTACAAAACCAGTACATTTTCATCAAGATTTGAGAAAGAGAAAAAAGTATAAAGGAAAAAAATTTAGCAAAGTCCCGTCACCTAAACATATCATGCATTAATATTCTAGTGCTTTCTTCTTTAAGTCTTTTCTTTCGAATGGTTCTGCCCTGAAGAGTTGTGTCCCAGTTTTATCTTAATGCTATTACCTCAAGCATCTTTATGGGCGATAACTCTCGATAAATGTCTTTAAGACAGGGTCTTGCTCTGTTGCCCAGGCTGGAGTGCAGTGGTGCAATGATGTCGTCATAGCTCACTGCAGACTCAACCTTCTGGGCTCAAGAGATCTTCCCACTTCAGAGGCACAAGCAGCTAGGACTATAGGAGTAGGCCACCATACCTGAATACTTTTTATTATTTTGTAGAGATGCGGGGGGGTCTTGCTATGTTGCCCCGGCTGGCCTTGAACTCCTGAGCTCAAGCAATCCTCCCACCCTGGCCTCTCAAAGTGCTGGGATTACAGGCCTGAGCAACTGCAACCTGCCTGTCGGCCGTCTTTGACATTTTACTATATATACTATACACTACTGATATATATTAACTATACGGTTAATTTATATAAGCTATATTGTCTCCAATTGTTGAAATTAACAATACAGTACAGTGTATGTGTGTGTATCCTTTACCCTTCAGAGCACTTATTACAACTGCATAGAAATAACTTATTATTCTGTATTTAGATGCTGAATGTCGGCCTTCCCCTGCTTAACTATGAGGCTGTACCCTTATCTCTCTTGTTCCCACTGCAGCCCTCACCAGCAACTCAAGGGTCTGGTATATAGTCTATACTTAAAAAATATTTGTTGACCTTTTCCTGTACTTAGTACGCCATGCTAATTTTCTGGAAATGGAATTACAAGGCTATAAATATGTTCATGAAATCTGATGCAAACTGCCAAACTGCTTTTACTATACTCCAGCAACATCTATTTTTCAAAACATTTGCTAATTTGACACTTGTTTGGGCTATTACCACTTTAACATTCATATTCTCTGCATGTGCACTAGACTGATCTCCATTTGAATGAGATCTTATGTTTATAAATGTTAACCATTTGTTGACAATATTTATTGTTTCATTTGTATTTGTAATAAGTTCTGTACAAAAATGTACATCTTAGTCGATTCATAATTTTTCTGTATTTTATCCCTCAATTTTAAGCATACAAAGTCTCCTTCCCTCTACCAGAGGTTAAGAATTTACCTCTATTTTCTTCTGAGTTTTGTTTTGCTGCCTACATTCTATTCTTTGTTAATACTGTTTTCTAAAAGGAATTCATCTTTCCACTGCACCCAAAGCCTTTTCACTGGTTGAACATTTCCATACACGCTAGAACTTGCACCATGTCATTCAGAGTAAAATGGCTCGTCTGCTTGCAGTGTATTTGGAAAATCACGTTGGTAATGGAAATGCTCATGGTCAGTGAAGCGCCCCCGCAGGTGTGCCTGACACAGGGACTCTCCTTGAGCCAACCTCCACCCTCGGGCATCACTCTGCCTGTGGAGTTCCTGTGGCAAGTGAGGCTTCCTTTATTTTTGGGGGTTTTTTTGAGACAGGATCTCATTCTGTTGTCCAGGCTGGAGCGCAGTGGCACACTGATGGCTTAATGCAGCCTCGACCTCCTCTGCTTAACCGATCCTCCTGCCTCAACCTGCCAACAGCTGGGACAACAGACGTACACACCACGCCTGGCTAATTTTTGCACTTTTTTTTGGAGATGGGGTTTTGGAGATGGGGTCTATGTTGCCCAGGCTGCTGCTTTTTTTTTTTTTTTTGAGATGGAGTCCCACTCTGTCGCCCAAGCTGGAGTGCAATGGCACAATCTCAGCTCACTGCAACATCTACCTCCCAGGTTCAAGCGATTCTGCTACCTCAGCCCCTTGAACAGCTGGGATTACAGGCGCACACCACCAAGCCCAGCTAACTTTTGTATTTTTAGTAGAGACAGGGTCTCAACATGTTGGTCAAGCTGGTCTTGAACTCCTGACCTCAAATAGTCCACCCACCTCAGCCTCCCAAAGTGCCCGGCCCCCCTTTCCTTTATTTTTTAAGACAAGGTCTCACTCTGTCACCTTGCCTGGAGTTCACTGGCGTGATCATGGCTCACTGCACATAGCCTCAACCTTCCGGGCTCAAATGATCCTCCCACATCAGCTTACTGAATATTCTCTATGGCGATGGGGATCTATGTTGCCCAGGCTGCTTTTTAAATTTGTTTTGAGACAGGGTCTTGCTCTGTTGCCCAGGCTGGTGTGGAGTGGTGTGATCACGACTCACTGCAGCCTTAATCTCCCTGGCTCAAGTGATCCTCCCACCTCAGCCTTCTGAGTAGCTGGGACTACAGGCACATGCCACTATACCTTGCTAGCTTTTGCATTTTTAGTAGGGACAGGGTTTTGCCCAGGTTGGTCTCGAACTCCCGGGATCAAGTGTCTTCCCACATCGGCTTCCCACAGTGTTGGAATTAAAGACATGAGTCACAGTACCTGGCCCAGGCTGCTTCCTAACTTCCTAGTCTGGGCTACAGTGACCACCAACTTTGCAATTATATCATGTATTTCACTGCTACTTCAATTCTCAAGCTTCTAATTTCAGCTTCTATTTTCTTTAATGTGAAGGGAAATACAGACGTATGTAAATGACCAAAACCCCTGCAGACTGTGAAAGGCCCTGACTGCCTGTGTGTGGGGTTCAACTCTTCATTCTAAAGGGAGAGGAAGATGATCCATCAAAAATAGTCATCCAGGCCGGGCATGGTGGCTCATGCCTGTATCCCAGGACTCTGGGAGGCCAAGCTGGGCGAATCACTTGAGGTCAGGAGTTCCAGACCATCCTGGCCAACATGGTGAAACTCCGTCTCTACTAAAACTACAAAAATTAGCAGGGTGTGCTGGCAGGCACCCGTAATCACAGCTACTCAGGAGGCTGAGGCAGGAGAATCGCTTGAACCCAGGAGGCGGAGGCTGCAGAGTGGCAGAGGCTGCAGTGAGCTGAGATGGCGCCACTGCACTCCAGCCTCAGGAGCAACAGAGCGAGACTCTGTCTCAAAAAAAAAAGAAGAAACAATCATCGAGAGAGGGTCCACCCCACTTCAAATGATCACTGTGTTCTAATGAGGAAAATGCTCATGAATTCACTAGTGAAACTGAATTCTTAACACTTCTAGCAGAAAATGTCAAACACACACAAAGGTAACTTAGAGGGTAGTTCCTAATGGTTAACCTGCAACCATGTAACCTTTATCATCCTCTCTCTGTATGTATATATATGTGTGTACATATGTATGACTATATATGTATGCACATACACATATTTCTATTTCTGATCCATTTGAGTAAATTGCAGACATGATGTTTTACCCCAAAATATGTCCATGTGTATTTCCAAAGAACAAAGACATTCTCTTACATAACCACAGTAGAATTACCCAAATCAAGTAATTAACATTGGTACAAATGATTCACATTTTCCCTGTTAAAATGTGAAGATAGGCTGGGCACAGTGGCTCATGCCTGTAATCCCAGCACTTTGGGAGGCAGAAGCGGGCGGATCACGAGGTCAGGAAATCGAGACCATCCTGGCTAACACGGTGAAACCCTGACTGTACTAAAAATACAAAAAATTAGCCAGGTGTGGTGGCATGCACCTGTAATCCCAGCTACTCGGGAGGCTGAGGCAGGAGAATTGCTTAAACCTGGGAGGTGGAGGGTGCAAGCCAAGATTGCGTCACTGCACTCCAGCCTGGGTGACAGAATGAGACTCCATCTCGAATTAAAAAAAAAAAAAAAAGGATTTTTTTTCCCCACATGCTTATGGTTGAGTTTGCTTGGTGCCTATAATCCTGGCACTTTGGGAGGCCAAGGCAGGAGAATTGCTTGGGCTCAGGAGCTTAAGACCAGCCAAAGCAACATAGTAAGACCCTGTCTCTACACAAAACTTAAAGATTAGCTGGGTGTGGTAGTGCACTGGTAGTCCCGAATACTAGGGAGGCTGGGGCAGGAGGATGGCTTGAATCCAGGAGCTCAAGGCTGCCCTGAACCATAAGTGTGCCACTGTACTCCAGTCTGGGTAACAGTATGAGACACTGTCTCCAAAAAAAGAGTTTACTTGGCATTATAAAGGAAATAAAAAGAGCACACACAGAAAGTTTGCCTGGCACACCTGTCATGGCACCTGTAACTGGTGCTGGTCTCATGAGTAGAACAGATCTGTGAATGACAGTTCTAATTTGCTAGGTCAGGATTTTCTCATTCATGTCTCCTCTTTCTCTATGCCCGATGTCAGCTGATGACTAGTTTAAGAAATAACATCAGCTGGGCGCGGTGGCTCACGCCTGTAATTCCAGCACTTTGGAATTACAAAAAAAATTAGCAGGGCGTGGTGGCGGGCGCCTGTAGTCCCAGCTACTCGGGAGGCTGAGGCAGGAGAATGGCGTGTGAACCCAGGAGGCAGAGCTTGCAGTGAGCTGAGATTGCGCCACTGCACTCCAGTCTAGGCGACAGAGCAAGACTCCATCTCAAAAAAATAAAAATTAATAATAATAATAATAATAATAAAAACCCATCAACTAGAATAGTGCAAAACTGCCTGCAAACTCCTTCCACTGCGGCCAACTTCCCAAGTGTGAGGAGGTCTGTGGGGAGCACCAAGACCAGTTGCTTTGGCCTCCATCATTCTCACAAATACCTTTCCAGTCAGCGGGGAGGAAACAATCCCATTGCCGATGTTCTTCTTGGAGTGATCTGGAACCACACTTGGGCAGCCGGGAAGGGAGGAGGAGCCTGTCCTGGAGATGAGGCCCTCGGGACTTTTCTTAGAGCCTGGAATTCTGTAAAAGGAAGAAAACAAGTCGGGAATTCTCTTATTAAAGCTGAGAAGGCATTACAGAAACGGAGAGAATCAGAATAAGTTAAGGTCAAGGTCACAATTATATTATTTTTAAAGGCGGGGCAAGGCAGAAACACGGCCTGGGGACACTCTGCCACTCCTAACTGCTTCTCTGGAATCTCCCTTCGCCTTTCAACCACCGTGAGGCTGAGAGCTCAGCCCCAGGTACCTGCTGAATATAAGCAGAGCAAGGGCAAATTAGATCAGAATTCCTCCAAGATCACAGTTAAATGCACCAGAGAGCAAGAGAGACCCCTCTAACACCTCAATCGCACTCAGCGGAGATGTACAAAGCAGTGAAAATGCCTCAGTTGCCACGGTCTCCGGCCTCCAGGTCAGTGACAGCCAGCTCCGGGAGAAGGCCCCTCCAGAGGAGCTCTGCGGCGGCACCCCCACAAACACGTTCTTCCCAGCCTGGCCCTACAGGGGCAGCTTCCCCACAGGGGAAGGGGCATCAGCTGGCTACCATCTAGGGAGCAGTACCTCTAATTTGGGGCAATACTATAAATGGTGACTTTCCCATTTACATTCAAAACAGCATCCATGGGAGGGCAGATGGAATCCTGTCCTGACCTTCCCCGAGGCTCTAGCTTTTACTAAAAAGGGTCCTTCCCCATGGACAGTCTCCATGACACATGACGAACCCCTCCAGTGGAATTCCCAATTACCGTCAAACAAAAAAAGGTTAGGGAGGCCCATAGGTATAAGAAAAGAGCAGAGGGAGTGAGCTCATCTGGGGAGGGCGTGAGTTTATTACCGCAGATAGAACAGCACATAGGCCTGCTGGTTCAGAACCACCTTGACGTTGCTGGAATGGACCAAGGAATCATTCATCTGGTACCACTGTCCATTGCTTGCCTGAAGCAGCCAAGGATTTTGCAGAAAACAAAACAATCAACAAGCATCCCATTATGCTCACTTTTTAAAAAGAGAATGAAAAATCTGTTACTTGCTACACTTCCAAATGCTATTAATAATCAACCATAACAATTTCCTATTAAAATGTGTAACATTTTCATAACGCAGAATGTGACCCCAAAGTGTGCTTTGAGTCCCAGTTCCTTCCTAGTGACCCAAAAGAGAGGAACGGTCCCTTCTAAAGGACATTCAGGCAGTCTCATCACCATGGCCCTCTCCCTCCTACGTGTGCCTTTCACCAAGATTTTGCCAGGATTCTAAGGACGGCACCAGAAGTGGCTGCCTCTTCCGTGTCTCACTGCAAGTCTGAGAACAGTAGGTTCTGGTGCGACACTTTCGTAAAGGCATCTTTTCACTCCACGCACAGAGGCAACAATGAGGACTTGAATCCAACTACAAAACATCACTACTTTTCACAAAGAAAGTGTTCTACAGAGGCCACATCTGGATGTGCATGGGTGCTGAGACCTGCCCCAGGAGGCAGCTGCACTGACACAACCCTCTCACCTTCACATAGCAGTAATAGTGCCCGGCATGGCAGCTGTAGCCCGAGTGCACCAGGACAGCATAGAGTCCATACATGACAGGATCACCATTATTCTGGGACATATACGGACGTATGTTGAGGAATTCCGGATAGCCTACATCCTGTTTGAAAAATCAAGGAAAAGGCAAGTAAGATTCACTTTGAGAGTAAAGATCAATTGCCCTTTCCATCCACAACCACACAAAATGCCCAACTTGGCTGGTCTTTAACAATTTGGGGGCCGGATGCAGTGGCTCATGCCTGTAATCCCAGCACTTTGGGAGGCCGAGGCAGGGGAATCACTAGAGGAGTTCAAGACCTGCCTGACCAATATAGCAAAACCTCACTTCTAATAAAAATACAAAAAATTAGTTGGGCATGGTGGTGCACTGCCTGTAATCCCAGCTACTCAGAAGGCTAAGGAATGAGAATCACTTCAACCTGGGAGGTGGAGGTTGCAGTGAGCCGAGATCGAGCCACTGCACTCAGCCTGTGCAACAGAGTGAGACTCTGTCTCAAAACTGCCCCGCCACAAAAAAGAAAAAAACACAATTTGGGGTGACTGGGTGTGCAGCAACACTGTGCAGGAGCTCCCCCAGGCAATGATTAAAAACCAAGATGCTGGCCAGGCACAGTGGCTCACGCCTGTAATCCCAGCACTTTCGGAGGCCAAGGCGGGTGGATCACAAGGTCAAGAGATTGAGACCATCCTGGCCAACATGGCGAAACCTTGTCTCTACTAAATACACAAAAACTAGCCAGGCGTGTTGGCACATGCCTTGTAGTCCCAGCTACTCGGGAGGCTGAGGCAGCACAGTTGTTTGAAACTGGGAGGTGGAGGTTACAGTGAGCTGAGATCGCACCGTTGCACTCCAGCCTGGAGACAGAGCGAGACTCCGTCTCAAAACAAACAAACAACAACAACAACAACAACAACAAAACACCAAGATGCTGAGAAGTGAGTCTTCTCCAGTCAGCCTATGGGAAACTTTATTGTCCCATCAAGCGATGTAGAATCTGTTCTTGTCTTTGTCAAGCATCTACATTAGTTCTCTCACCACCTGCTTCCCAACGACCAAATGAGAAGAGTCACTCCTTTTCTTTCCCTCCACTCTACAGGAACATTGTTCGTGGGAGAAAAGGCAGAGAATGCTGGATTTTAGCTCTTCAGAAATAAAAGTGCTGAATTAACACAGCCAACTGCTACAGCAAGTTAGACTTTTAATGAAGTGGATCAGAAGAAAGGTCATGTCAAAATGTGTTCCCAAAATTGACAATTTTTCATAGAAAAAAAGATATGCACACATATATACATATACGCACACATATATACAGACCTTATACATACATGCACACATATACATACATGCATACATACACGTACACACACACAAACATGCACACACGTGCATACACATATACACACATGCATGCATATATACATACATGTGCACATACACACATGCACACATATATCCATACATGTACACATACACATATACACGCACACACAGATATTCTTGGCAGTAATAGTGGCCAGGACGGCAGCTGCAGGCTGCGTGCACCAGGACAGCACGGAGCCCACACAACAGGATGGCCATCATTGTGGGTCTATACAGATGTGTTTAGGAACTCTAAAACATATAGACATACATTTTTTTTTTTGGAAACACAGTCTCGCTGTGTCGCCCAGGCTAGAGTGCAGTGGCACAATCATAGCTCACTGTAACTTCGAACTCCTGGACTCAAGTAATCCTCCTATCTCTACCTCCGAAATAGCTGGGACTATAGGCACATGCCACCATGACTGGCTAATTTAAAAAAACTGTTTAGGCCAGGCGTGATGGCTCACACCTATAATCCCAACACTGTGGAAGGCCGAGGTGGGTGGATCACTTGAGTTCAGGAGTTCAAGACCAGCCTGACCAACATGGTGGAACCCCGTCTCTACTAAAAATACAAAATTTAGCCAGGCGTGGTGGTGCACTTGTGGTCCCAGCTACTTGGGAGGCTGAGGCAGGAGAACCACTTGAACTTGGGAGCCTGGGTGACAGAGTGAGACTTCGTCCCCAAAAAAAAAACCCAAAATTTTTTTGTACAGACAGGGTCTCGCTATGTTGCCCAGGCTGGTCTTAAACTCCCAGTCTCAAGCAATCCTCCCACCTCAGCCTCCCCAAGTGCTGAGATTAGAGGTGTGAGCCATCGTGCCCAGCCTAAATCATGTTTTTAAACTGAGTTGTGGGATTTGTCGAAATGCACAGATCTTCAGTATACGGATCAAAGAGTTTTGACAAGTATATACTGATGGACATGCAGAACATCAACTAGAAAATTTCCACATCCCAGTCATTGCCCCATCTCAGATATCCACTGTTCTGATTTCTGTCATCATTAATTTTGCCTGTTCTTAAACGTCACATACCATCAGGCATGTGCCACATAACCATGTTTCGGTCAATGACAGACCATATGTACAACAATGATCCCGTAAGATTATAACTCGGCATTTTCACTGTACCTTCTCTGTGTTGAGATACACATATACTTCCCATTGTGTTGCAACTGCCTGCAGTATTCAGGACAGGAACAGGCTGTGTAGGTTTGTGGCCTAGAAGCCAGGGGCTATACCATACAGCCGGCTCTGTCATCTACCTCTGTGTATGTGCACTCTATGATGTTCACACAGGGACAGAATTGCCTGGTGATGTATTTCTTAAAACGTGCCCTTATGGTTACACGACACGAGTCTACAACATAAAGAATCTGCAAACACATTTGGGAAATGCTGACCTAAGCAAGCCCCCTACCACTACCAATGAGGAAACGGAGGCTCAGCCAAGGGGGTCGTTCCAAACCGCATAACTAGGCTCTCAGAACAGAACTTGAGATTGTTATGAACTATAGCCATCAGCTGGGAGCACTGGCTCAGGCCTGTTATCCCAGCACTTTAGGAGGCTGAGGCAGGTGCATAACCTGAGCTCAGGAGTTCGAGACCAGCCTGGCCGACATAGCGAAACCCCGTCTCTACTAAAAATACAAAAATTGGCCAAGCGTGGTGGCGGGCGCCTTAATCCCAGCTACTCTGAAGGCTGAGGCAGGACAATCACTTGAACCCAGAAGGCGGAGATTGCGCCACTACAATCCAGCCTGGGCAACAGAGCAAGACTCTGTCTCAAAAAAAAAAAAAAAAAAAGGAAAAGAAAAGAAGAAACACGTCTTCTATTAAAATGCCACTATAGGCCAGGTATGGTGGCTCATACCTGTAATCCCAGCACTGTGAGAGGTCAAGGCAGGCAGGTCACTTGAGCCTAGGAGTTTGAGACCAGCTTGGGCAACACAGCAAGATCCCATCTCTACAAAAAACTTTAAAAAAAATTAACCAGGAATGGTGACATGTGCCCACAGTCCCAGGTACTCAGAAGGCTAAGGCAGGGGGATCGCTTGAGCCTGGGAGGTCAAGACTGCAGTGAGCTGTGATTATGCCACTGCATTCCAGCCCAGGTGACAGAGTGAGACCCTGTTTTAAAATAAAATAAAATTAAAAAAATAAAATGCCATCGTGTCAAAAGTAGTTTTTTTAACTCCATATTCCATAAAAAACCAGTTCTAGACATCAACAGGTGCAATGGCACCTGTTCTAGACATCAACAGGACATGGACGATGCGAGTCCCGCCACCCAGTGCTCATCACACTCATCTGGAGAACCCTGAGCGTCCCTGCCAGGACCAGCCCAAGCACAACCAGAAGCTGGGGTAAATCCAGTAAGACAGTGGCCCTGGAACTTGACTGTGTATAACAAGCATTCAGGGATTTTGCAAAAATGCAGATTCCTGGGCCCTGTCCTCCAGAGATTCAAATTCACTAGCACTGGGATAGACCCAGAAATGTCTATTTTTTTTTTTTTTTTTTTTTTTGGAGACACAGTCTCGCTCTGTCGCCCAGGCTGGAGTGCAGTGGCGCAGTCTCAGTTCACTACAACCTCCGCCTTCCGGGTTCACGCCATTCTCCTGCCTCAGCCTCCTGAGTAGCTGGGACTACAGGCGTCTGCCACCTCACCTGACTAATTCTTTGTATTTCTAGTAGAGACGAGGTTTCACCACATTAGCCAGGACAGTCTCGAATTCCTGACCTCATGATCCGCCCGCCTCAGCCTCCCAAAGTGCTGGGATTACAGGAGTGAGCCACCACGCCCAGCCAGAAATGTCTATTTTTAAAAAGCACTGCAGGTCTCTTCACCTCTCTGTGCCTATTTTCCCATTCTGGGCAATGGTGAAACTATAGCCTCTACTTCACAATATGTGTAGAACCTTTAGAACAGGGACAGGTACTATGTAAATGGCAGCTATCAAACTTGTGGCTATCACTTTCTTCGTGTCATTCTGATGCCGACTGTGGCCCACGGAGCTGCCTGAGATGGTGTCACCAGCGCTCACCTTGGTGATCTTCCCCCCGCTAAAGTTGGCAAAGCGCTTGAGGGAAAGGGTTAAGACATTGGATGTTCTGTGGATGGTGAAGCGCTTGCTGGCTGGAACCTTCTTCTTGCATCTATGAAGGTGATGAGAAAGATTAATTAACTGATTGATTCATGCTCTGAAAAATGTTGTCTTAACGCTAAGTTAACAACCGCAACAACTGCTCTGTAATAATGGAATGTTCACCAATTAGATTTAAACCTTTTGCTCCCCTAAAAATCACATTAAGCATGCCTCAAGTAAAGGAAAGCTACCACAGGGAAACAAGACTATAGAAAGTGGGAAGATCCTAAAGCAAAAAAATAAAAGTACTGTACCCACCAGGAGATTAAATAAGATACAGGAAAAAGTTGCTTTGGGGCAACACAGGAAAGAGCAAATTAAAGCAGATGTGGCTGAGTGATAAAATGGGCAGGCAGGAAGTCAACGTGAGCAAAGCCAGAAGATGCGCAAACGCAGGGAGAGAAAACAGAGGCAGAGGCGTGCAGCTTGGAGAGCTGCAGGAGACAGACATAAAGAGGAGTAAAGCAGAATAAAGAATATATCCTTTAGTGCCTACAGCTTTACAACGACCTAGATACAAAGACATTCGGCCGGCTGTAGTGGCATGATCCCAGCACTTTGGGAGGCCGAGGCAGGCGGATCACCTGAGTTCAGGAGTTCGAGACCAGCCTGGCCAACATGGTGAAACCCTATTACTACTAAAAACACAACAAATGACAAAGTAAGAGTTCTATCTGCAGAAATGGAAAAACATCCAAAACCGGTTAAGTAAAAAATGAAAGCCACAGAAAACACTCCTCAAGAAGCAAGAGAGCGGCTGGCTGGGCACAGCCCCTTGGGTGGCCGCCCAATGTGAGCCAGTGTGAACTCATGTGAGCTCGTGCTCTGCCGCGTCCTCTCGGTGTGGCCTCAGGCCTGGTCACTTCACTTCTCTGTGCCTCAGTTTCACCGTCCCTGGCAACGGGAAACCACAGCCCCTACTGACAATACATGCAGCATCTTTAGAACAGGTACGGTGTAAACTGCAGCTATAAAAATCACAGCTATCGCTTCATTTGTGTTATTTAGAAGTTTGTGTTTTTAGGACATACATAGGTTCCTCAAGAAATACGAGCAGCGTCACCGCAAAGGAAGAGAGAGGGTGGGCACAACACTGTCAGGTAAGGTGACTTATTTCTCATCTCGTGTCAGTCTTCCGCCACGAGCAACGTGAAACTTACTTAGCACACATGTAGGCATTCTCTCCACTCAGGACATCTGCTTTCACAAAAAGTTCCAGAGCACGCACAATATTTGCAGCTTGCTGAGGAGGACAAAAACAGGGAGTAAAATACACAGCAGAAGAAAAACGCTGATTCAAGAAATGCCAAATTTAAGGTCTTTTTTAGGCTGAGGCAGCAAATCACAAAACTTGACTCGCATAAAAGTTTTCCCGCTAGCTGCCACACTGGGACTCCTTCTCCAGTGACAAGAAATGACAGCAGCCAGGGAACAGCAGCTCACGTCTATAATCCCAGCACCCTGGGAGGCCGGGGCAGGAGGATCACTTGAGGCCAGGAGTTTGAGACCAGCCTGGACAACACAGCAAGACCCCCATCTCTATAAATAAATTTTAAAAATTAAGCAGGTGTGGTGATGCATGCCTATAGTACCAGCGGTGTGGGAGGATCACTTAAGCCTAGAGGTCAAGACTACAAGGAGCTGCGATTGTGCCACTGCACTCCTGCCTGGGTCACAGAATAAGACCCTGTCCCTCGAGCCCCCATAAAAAAGAAAAAAAGAAAAGAAAAGAAATGACAGCTGCAAGTCTGCCATGAATCAGTCACTTTTATCAGGATGGTCTTGTAGCTGGACCCGCTCTGGAGCTTGGGTTGGTCCAGCGCAGGCAGGCTGGCCTCCCGCAGACTGTAGCTGGAGCAGGGCGTGCGCGTAAAGCCAAGGCTGCTCTCCCAGGTGAGGCCCACAGAGCCACCAAGCTCCAAAGGCTGCACGCTGCCCATAGCACACAACAGACTCTCCTCAAGCCCTGGGGACACTGTTGTTCCTGTACATGCTTCAGGACGCAAAACTCAATTTTACCATTTTTTTTTTCTTTAAATAAAATGATACACATAGGAAAAACTCTAGAAAGAAACAGGTAAAGACAATGGTCTGTACTGCAAGGCGGCAGGGAGCAAAGGAGTTTTCTCCCTATCTATTTTGATCTGATGCCTTCACTGTTCTGCTGATTCTGTTTCACCCTCTGGCCTCACTCTCCTACTGCAAATGTGAAGGGCAGCATAAGTCTGTACCCGGATCTCCAGCGCGACGTCCAAGTAGGGGTCGTAGGTGTCCGAGACGCTCTTGCACATGGAGCACTTCACTGTAACAGAACAGAGGCAGTGGAGCAGGTGTGGCCTGGCAGAGGCACTCCCAGCTCCCAAGACCGAGACCCGGCAGGGAGGCAGACTCTCAGCAGGGCTTTGGCCAAAGATGAGATACCCACTAGCCCCTGAAGAATCCTAGTGTCTGGACAGCGAGCTCTCCTTCCCCACTGAAGTTTACAAAGATGGATGTCAATGCCTTTGCACTCACAGGACCCTCTCTGCCTGGACTGGCAACCACCACGTGCGGTACTCTTCTGCTGAGGGAGAGCGGAGGCAAGACCACCTCCTCCCTATGTAAGTGCACAGCACTTCTCTCGGGCTTCCTCATGGAAATATACACACACACACATGCACATACATATATATATATATATATTTTTTTTTTTTTTTTTTTCTTTTGAGATAGAGTCTTGCTCTGTCTCCCAGGCTGGAGTGCAGTGGTGGAATCTTGGCTCACTGCAACCTCCACCTCCTGGGTTCAAGCAATTCTCCTGACTCAGCCTCCCGAGTAGCTGGGATTGTAGGCAGGCACCACCGCGCCCGGCTAATTTTTGTATTTTTAGTAGAGACGGGGTTTCACCATGTTGGCCATGGTTGGCCAGGTTGGCCTCAAACTCCTGACCTCACGTGATCCTCCTGCCTCAGCCTCCCAAAGTGCTAGGATTACAGGCAAGAGCCACCATGCCCGGCCCTCATGGGAATATTCTAACAACTGCTCCAGTGGCCAGGCGGGCCAAGAGTCTCAGAGGAAACCATTGCTCAAGACCTCAGAGACTGACCCAGGTCTGCACAGTGAGGAAAGAGCCCCAGCCTGCGTTCCAAGACTTAGGGTTTTCTGGGTTCATGTTCTAATCCTGGCAAGAAGCAGTAGAGCAAATGTCTCCACTTACCACGTGATCTGAGATACCCTCCAAAAATCTGATGGACCAAGGTAGTAGCCTGCGTTTGACGATCCAACCTGAAAAGGAGGCCACAGCCTTTAAGGGAAGGACTCGGCATGATGACACGAGGGATGGCCCCATCCCAGCACCCCCATGCCCACCAATCACCAGCTCAGCGTGAGGCTGGGAAACCCCACCCCTACCTGAGTCACCACAGACCCTTAACCTCCATCATCAGCCCAGCGGCCTGGCAGTCTCTGCAGAGCTCTGACCTCCTCAGGGACCCACTCCCCACAGTAGCCATTTCAAACTTTCACAATGCCCACTGCCACCCACCTCACAGAAAATAAAAGCCCCAAGAAATGTATGTGTATCCTCACCCATTGTTGCCTTTTTTTTTTGGTCTCAATGAAAAGTAAGTACCCAAATCTGGAGTGAGACGGGAGGCCAAACACCCCGCTGAGCTGGGGCACCCACCTGGCCCAGCCCTCCACTTCTCTGCTGGCCATCAGACGGCTGGCCCCCAATCTGGGAAGAGGGGTGGGGGTGGGGACAGAGGCACAAACAGGACCAAAACTCCCCGGCTCTGCGCCCTTTTCAGAGAGGACAGAGGAGTCAGCCGTGGGCTTCAGGGTCAGGAGCCCTGCACTCACTCATGCCCCTGCACCGCTCACAAACTGGGATGTGAGGCAATCCGAGCTGGGGGGCCTCTTCTCACCCGGCCCCAGGGCTGCCTGGTGCCTCCCACGCCTACGTAGCCGTATGGTAGTTACTCATGCTGGGAAGATTCTGAAACAATACACCACATCCAGTTTCTGCTCCTAGTTCTACTTGCAACCCACTGCATCTGGTCCTGACTCACTGCTCTGGAACTGCCTTCCTCAGAGTCGCCCAAGGCCTCCAGGCACGAGGCCAGCTGGGTCTGCAGGCCCTTTACTAGGAGGCTGCGCAGTGTGCCCGTACACCCACTCCCTCCAGACGAGCTTCCCCTCTCTCCAGGCTCTCCAGCCCCGTCTCCCCAGTTGCTTCCCCGACTCCTCACTGGCACAAAGCAGGGCTGTTTCCAGGGCTCCCTCCACATTTCCCATGGCCACCCAGACCATTCCACACCGGCAGGCCACACCCCACCCCACCCCGACAGAACGTGTACACCTCAGCCTCTCATCTGGCCCGTGTGACTATTTACCATCGCACTTCCCTGACTCTGGGAGCTCTGAAATATTTGGGGGACCAATACAGGATCACTCAACTTTTATTCTGCAAAGTTAGAAAATGAAAAATCAACTGCCACCACTTACTGTCCCACCATTCTTCAAAAGTGACCTTTTAACTGCAAACACTAGCAAGGACAGAATCTCTGCGTGAACTGAGAACTGTGGGTAGCTGCGTGTGATGGCAGCTGCCAAAATCTAGACCACCCCCACAATCCCTCCATCTTCTAGAAGTCCACAAGCACCAGAGCCCACAGGGCCTCAAGGAATCCCCTCTTGTATAACCCAAAGCAGAGGAAGCACAACCATCACCTTACCCAGGAGGAGGAAAGCCAAGCTGAGTGGCAGCTCCCACAGGCACCCCATCCCACAGGCACCCCACTGAGCCTGGGGAGAAAGGGCAGTGGGGAACAACTGGGCAAGAAGGGAGGAGGGGGCAGGAGGTGGCCCGAGAGCCACCCCGAATCATGGCTGCAAGGGGTGCCCTGGAGAGGAGCGCTGAATATGGGGTCTCACAGGCATGCAGCTGGAGTGGCAGTCTCCACAGGCATGGGCTCTCAGGGGGAGAAGGCAAAAAGGCAGGCAGGCGTCCTTAGAAGAGCAGTGAAGGGCAAGAGAGGCAAAAGGGGAAACGTCAGGTTCCTGGAAAAAACTCAAAACTATCCTAGGCTATCAACCCTTCTGCCGCCAGAGGAAAAGCCAACCATTAAAGTGCCCTGCACGGTGCAGACAGAGGAGGCACTCTGGATTACGAAATCTTGAAAAGCAGCAGACCCACAAGATAAATGAAAGCACGCCCCGTCTACGCAAAGCGCTTCAAGCACAAAGCAGCAATGAACAAGAATCAAAACACCTCATGGAATGCAAACTAGCTCCAGAAAACAGGCATGACACTGAAGACACAGCCACCAAAACTCCAAGCTGAACATCCTCAACACAGTGAGAGTGGCCTCATTTCTGGAACCAGAGTGCCATACACAGCTGCCCTCCTGGAGGAACTTATGAGAGGACGGGCTTCACCCAGCCAGGAGCACGCCAGAGGTGCCACTGGAGGGTGGGCAATGAGCAATGGGAAGATGTAACCATAACCTAAGGCTGGGCAAAAAAAAGATACCACCTTATAGGTGCCAACAACAACAAAAGAGAAATCATGCACACTAAAATGGCGAGAGAGAAGAGAGCAAAAGTGGTAGGAAGTAAAGGGCACCACGTGGACTGCCAAACCAGACAGTGAGGGGTGGGGAAACGGGACCAGGTGCATTTCAAAAGGGCGTATGAAACCAGCAGGTAGGGTGGAGCGTGCCTGCAGTTCCAGTTACCGGGAGGGAGGATTGCTTGAGTCCAAGAGGTAGAGCCTGCCGAGTGGAGATTGCACCACTGCACTCCAGTCTGAGAGACAGAGCCAGGCCCTGTCTCAAAAACAATGGCTTATGTATAAAGGTAGCCATTAAAACAAAAACACATATCTTCCTAATATCCCAAGAAATTTGATGAATAAAGAAAAATCAGCCGGGCACAGTGGCTCACACCTGTAATCCCAACACTTTGGGAGGCCGAGGTGGGCAGATCATGAGATCAGTAGATCGAGACCATCCTGCCTAACACGGTGAAACCCCCGTCTGTACTAAAAATACCAAACATTAGCCGGGCGTGGTGGCGGGCGCCTGTAGTCCCAGCTACTCGGGAGGCTGAGGCAGGAGAATGGCGTGAACCCGGTAGGCAGAGCTTGCAGTGAGCCTAGATCGCACCACTGCACTCCAGCCTGGGCGACAGAGTGAGACTCCGTTTCGAAAAAAAAAAAAATCTGAGAAATAAGCACAGTAAATATGCTACCTATAATTACTATAAAATACATAAATACGACAGAATTCAGACCAAACTTTTCAGTCATAACAGGAAATGTGAAGGGGCTTAACCTGCCTATTAAGAGATGGTCACTTTCACTTACAAAACAAGACCAAACCTTAAGAACACCTCTAAGGAAGGGTTCAGAAAGTGACAGCAAGGGGCCAGTGGAAACCCTGCAAAGCAGGGGCTGCAGCATGATGCTGGCCATGGCAGAATTCAGAACAAAGCCACTCCATGTGACAAGCGAAGACACTCGGAATGCTAAAAGCAACGATCCTCAATGAAGACATGACAGTTACAAACATCTAACCACAATCACCTGTATAGAGTAAAACTAGAGGAGATGCAAGGAGACAGACACCCACCAGAAGTCCAATAATCATGGACTTAACACACTATTCCAAACAGATGAAGACAAGAGCACATGGACAGAGAAAATGAAAACAGCATCATCAACAGACCCATCTACGGACAGAGAGCAAACCAACAGCCCGGCGGTCTGAGCACCCACCATCAAGTATGCAGGAAACATTCACAAACGCTGGTCACCTGTCATCACAGAGAAAACAACAGGAAGTTCCATGAAGTAGAAATATTATCAACACACTCTGATCATAACGCAAGTAACATCAAAAGTCATTTACGGAAGCAAAAGATGAAAAGCCCCTCCACCTGCAAATTCAATGGAATAATTTGCTGTATGAGCAGCTCAACGTTGGTGTCATGCTTATTTTTTCTCACTCCACATTTCACTGCAGACCAGTGAAAGCTCTCTCATGGACTGACATCTGGTGAGCCTTCATCTCTCCCCCGGCAATGCCGGCCACCTGACACCTGGCCTCCCTCTTCTTTCCACCAATCCTGGTACCAATGAATGGCTCACCACCACCCACCCCAATGCCCAGACCACAGACCTGCACTCCTCCCATCCCACAGCCCCACATCCAAACCGTCGTTCATTCTACCTCCCATCCCACTCCTCACGAATTTCTTCCAGCTGCAGACTCTGGGTAACTGAACCGACAGAAGCCCAGGAGTCAGTTTCTGTCCTAAGAGCGCTCCAGGTGGCTGCACCCTGTGCCCAGAGCCAGGGCCCCTGCTACAGGCTCACTGCACTCCCCCTGCAGGTGCTGGGGACACCGCAGCCCTCCTCCTGGGGATACCCACTTGCCTTTGCAGGCCCTCAGGGGTCACTTCTCCCAGGAAGCCGCCTCTGGGTGAGGTAATCTCCTCTATCACAGCACTTCCCACACATCACTGCAAATGCTGCTGGGGTCCCCTGTCTTCCCCAATTATACCATGGGCTTCACAGACTCCAGGGCCATGGCTTCTACCTCTCAGTTCCCAGTGCTAGATATGGGGCCCAGCACACAGGGAACAGCAGTTCAATTACCCAGTTCACTGAAGGGCAGACCCAGGAACATCTAGGGAGCAGGGAGGCTTGAGCCCCTTCAGGGGAAAGGGAAGAACACATGACCAAACCCTCAGAAGAGACAAAAAGCATCCTAGGAATGCAGTGAAAGTTGCCTTCATATAAATGATTTAAGTAAGTTTTCTTAAGCCAGGAATGGTGGCTCATGCCTTTAACCCCAGCATTGAGAGGCCAGGGAGGGCGGATAGCTTGAGGCCAGGAGTTGGAGACCAGCTGGCCAACAAGGCAAAACCCCATCTCTACTAATAATACAAAAATTAGCCAGGCACAGTGGTGTGGGCCTGTAATTCCAGCTACTGCACTCCAGCCTGGGCGACAGAGCAAGAGTCCCGTCTCAAAAAGTTTCATTCTCTAAGTCTTATTTACATAAGAATATCATCCACTGAGGCCAGTGGTTTTGCCATTTCACTCACTCATTGCTACAACTCAACTTCTCTAAAGAACATTCTAGGTATACTTCCTAAACTATTTACAGTATTTCTAAGATCCTAAGCTGAGGCAATAAAAGGAAGTCCTGAGCATTTCCTGCCTGTTTTCTTTGGTCTGAACCTATGAACTCAGGAATGCCACAAAAACAATTTGTGATGGCGACCATTACATATAAGGGCATATGCGCTACCAAACAATCGCCTGGCACCACACCAGTGTGAATAAGAAACGGCAGCCAGGCACAGTCAGATCCTAAGTTATAAACTGCCTCATGTTAAAGCTCCGTTTGTACATATACATGTATGTATAAACTATACTGTAGAGACCTAATTCCTACCACCCCATCCTCTTTTTAAAAACAACATGATTTTTAAGAGACTGGAAAAGTCCATGGTGATAAATGAACACCCCTAAGAAGGTCTGCTAACGTATTTCCCTTTAACTGAGCTGCTGAGACAGAGCTACTGCCACCACCACAGCCACCCGATCCTACCAAGCCGCCCGGGATCAGCAGGACGTATCCGGAGAAGCCCTTTCCCAGGAAGCAAGGGCAATCCCCTATTTGGGCTCCAGCAGGCTGAGTACCCAGGGGCAAATTCTGCCACATCTACCCGAGGGCAGCCTGGGTAGAAAGGAGCCAGGCTGGCTGTTGCCATAGGAATGTTCTGCTGCCACCATGTAGAAAAGGCGTCCAAAGCCCGGGGAAGGCGAGTGGGGAAGCACGCACTTGGCGCAGCCATTCAGGCAGGCCTTCTGCATGGCATCGATGGTGTACCGCAGGAACTCATGCGCGTCCTCCTGGTTCCCAAAGCGGAAGTGCCGGGCGATCTCTAAAAGAGGAAGAAACGGGGAGGGAAGAGCTTATGTCTTCTCGTCAAACAGCCTGGGGCTGCTTTCCCGAGAATCCATTCCTGGCTGTTACAAGGGGAAAATACTGCAACTTTTCAAAAGAACAAGTGAGGAAAACAAGAGCTCTACATGGATTTTCTATATCCCAATCACAATGCATCATGGCAACTACTTTCTCAGTAAGATCGGAGGCTTGAACCTTCACTACTTCACAGAAAAGGAAGAACACCAAGCCCATAAATACGTAAAATGCCAGCTGGGTGAGCTGGCTCCGCCTGTCACTCTAACACTTCAGGAGGCTGGGGTGGGAGGATCACTTGAGCCCAGGAGTTCCAGAGCAGCCTGGGCAACATAGGGAGACTTCATCTCTACAAAAATAAAAAATAAAAAAATTACCCAGGCATGATGGCATGTGCCTATAGTCCCAGCTACTTGGGGGGCTGAGGCAGGAGGATGGGTTGAGCCTGGGAGGTTAAAGCTGCAGTAAGCTATGATTTCACCACTGCACTCTCAAGCTTGGGCAACAAAGCAAGACTCTTATCTCAGAAAGAAAAAGAATAAAAAATGTAAAATCTGGCTGGGTGCAATGGCTTATGCCTGTAATCCCAACACTTTGGAAGGCCAAGGCAGGAGGATCGCTTGGAGCCGGGAGTTGGAGACCAACCTGCACAACATGGCCAGACCCCGTCTCTACAAACAATACAAAAACAGCCAAGTATCGTGCACCTACAATCCCAGCTACTCAGAAGGCCAAGGCCGACTGCTTGAGCCCAAGAGTTTGAGGCTGCAGTGAGCTGTGATTGCACCACTGTCCTCCAACCTGTGTAAGAGCAAAACCCTAGGCCGGGCGCGGTGGCTCACACCTGTAATCCCAGCACTTTGAGTGGCCGAGGTAGGCGAACTGCCTGAGCTCAGGAGTTCGAGATCAGCCTGGGCAACATGGTGAAACCCCGTCTCTATCAAAAATACAAAATTTAGCTGGGCGTGGTGGCACGTGCCTGTAGTCCCAGCTACTCAGGAGGCTGAGGCAGGAGAACTGCTTGAACCCTGGAGGCAGAGGTTGTAGTGAGCTGAGATCACGCCACTGCACTCGAGCTGGGCAACAGGGGGAGACTCCATTTCAAAAAAAAAAAAAAAAAAAGCAAAACCCTGTCTCAAACAAAAGAACGTAAAATCCACTGAATATCTCTCTAAAAGCCAATATAAAACACAGGTGAATAAGTATTTCATAGTGCTACAATTTACACAGGTTTCAAAAACCGGTAATAAGCCTCTTCTTTCTGCCAAGTGAATGTGAATGAGACTTTTTTATAGCCTAGGCAACTGATTCCTGATATTCAGAAAGGAATTGGTACATTCCTCATCCATTCTTCCTCCCACTTCTCCCTCAGGCTCACTTGCCTGCCCCAAAGACACAGCAGCACCACCACCTGGCCAGAGGAAAAGCTACCTGTCCTGACCTGCCCCCACTGACCCCAGCCCAAGTCTCTAAACTGCTATTTTTTGAGTCTGTGCCACCACATGCAGGGCTGTTAGCACAGAGGGATTCCCAAGACTTCATCCATGACTCACTCTTCTCTCCCATCTACCAACTCCCCAGCACCTCCTACAGGGTGAGCACTCAGCAGGCTTCAGTAACAGATGGAGAATGGCACAGTGGCTCGTGTCTGTAATCCCAACACTTTGGGAGGCCAAAGTGGAAGGACAGCTTAAGGTCAGGAATTTAAGACGAGCCTGGGCAACAAAGCGAGAACCCCGTCTCTACAAAAAAATTTAAAAATAAATAAACCACAAAAATTTTAACATGGATCGATGCTTACTTTTCAGGTCTCGGATGAAGGAGACAGGCTTGATGGCGTTGCCGCTGTTGGCGAAGGCCTGGACGATGTGGTTCTGCATGACACACAGCATGCAGAAGCTTCCCTGGTGGCCTGCCAGCGTGGAAGGAGGAGCAATTTTAAGACAAGAGCTTTCAAAAAACTCACAGTGACGTCCCCACCCCAA